GTATCCTGTATCCTGTATCATGTACCCTGTATCATGTATCCAGTATCCAGTATCATGCACCTAGTATCATGTACCCAGTATTTAGTTTGTATATATGTATGAAGCCAATTTTTTACAGATTGATTCTTGCTGAAGAAGTTTAAACCCTCTTACATGAACTGAACACAAAAGACTATGAATGAAAAATTGCATTTTAATGTTTTTTTTTCAAAAATGGGATTTTTTCGAAAATTGTGCTGATTGTACAGATTTTTTAAAAAAATGTACGGATCTTTAAAAAAATGTACGGATTGGTTTAAAAAAATGTACGGATTGTACGGATTTTTTTTTAAAAAATTGTACGGATTGTTTTTCGAAAATTGTACGGATTGTACGGATTTCTTCTGAAAATGTACGGATTTTTGTACGGATGGGTTCAAAAAAGTTTTGGCCACCCTGTATATTTAAAACTTATTAAAGATTTATGAGAACAAATATGTTAGGTGTAAGGGTCTCCACGGACTAGATGTTCAGCTAACCCTGAAGTTGGGTAAAACCTATGAGTGCCACGCTCTTGAGGCCGCTGCTACTGCAGACCAAGACGCTCATGCCAACAGCATGGTGCCGATTCTAGAATCTCGGGCTGCAACTTATTACAAGGAAAGGGTTTTTTTACATGAAACTAATGACTTAAATGTTCGTGAGATACACGATGTCAGAAGGTTAAGTCGCAATTGTGCAAATTATTTCTAATTCTAAAGCTTTTGACTTCGTCCTACAATCATGTTTCCTGCTTAAGTACATCTTCTTTCATTACAAATATTCTGAAGATGCTCCTCTTACGTTCATTCGGAAATAGTAGAATAAACAATTTTTTATTAGATTTTAAGAACCTTGAAAATTTTTTAAATATTTGATATCAAACTATCCTAACAGGCGGCATTGGCAAGTATTGAGAAAATTGAAGCAGGAGTAGGAATACGTGAACCCATCCTCAGATTGTTTTCCGCAGCTGGAGTTGAACCAGGAAAATCAGAATTGGGGAAAATGCGCGAGTCCGCCAAATTCTTCCTAGCGTGCGAGAACATGCATCTAGGTATGCACGAGGAGGCTCTGGCTAGGTTCCGTGAGGTGAAATCAGCGTTTGCGTCTTTCTATTCTGCCGAGATATACAAGAAGCTTGCCATAGAGGAGAAATTGGCAAACCCAACCCGCTTTGGAGTTTCTCAGACTTACTTGAACTATCTTACTGATGCTAGGGAAGCTTTGTATCTTACTCTAGACCGGCTTAAAGCAGAACCCTCAGGACACGCTCTAAACTGCTCTATCGGAGATGCTGTAGAAGAGGTCGAAAACATGTTGAATTCCTGTGATGCTGTAGAAGAATTACTGAATGGAACATCAGACCAAACAGACACAGCCATGAATAGAACGGAACAACTTTCTAGTACTCCTAGGAGCCGAATCCGTGCTACAGAGCAGTTAGGAACCCCTGGATTAAGAACTCCAAACCGATCTTTGTTCTTGGAGGAGAGAGACGCCAAACCTAGTCCAGAACGCTTGGATGCGCAGATAAGACAGCTCACGCACTCACAGGTACAGACGTTAATCATTTTTGGTAACTCCTAATCCCCCCCTTCGAAAAAAAAATTGTTTTTCTAATTTTTTTCATCTTTTGGTGATTATTTACCCTTTTAAATTTATTAGGTAACATTTTTTTCAATTAAAATCTGAAAGTGCTTTAGGAAACGGTAAATGAGGACAAACTTACTGTTTTCCAAAAAAAAATTCGCATTAAAATTTAGTGCAATATTTTTGATTGGCTTTGTTTTATAATTTTCTGATTTGTTTTTTCTTCCTTTTAATAATTCCTTAGCTTGATGAATTTTCAGGACGGAATCGTCCGACAGATTTCTAACAGAGACCATGAGCTTCTGGAGAATAGCCGTGAGATGCTGGCTTGCTTTAAAGATTTCCGCACTAAAATCCAGGAAGTTTGCATTATTAAATCTGAGATTCAAGAACTGCGTAAAGAGTTAAAAGCTCGCGATGAGAAAACCCATGATCTTCTTCAGAAAATTGTAGACAAGCCTGATCATATTTGTAACACTGAACCCTCGACAAATCTATCAGAGGAAGAGAAACTGCTGCTAGAAAGCTTTGGAATAGGATCACAGACAACAGCTTCTGCTTCCGCAGCAGCAGCAGCTTTTCATCCGTTAATAAACCTCCAACAGCAGCAACTAATGATGGCCATGGCCGCTGCACAGCAACCTTTAACTCCAAGACCTATGGGAGTTCGTCCCGGCCTATCAATGCCAGGGATGAGTCCAGGTCCTTTTAATCAAGGAATGCTGGGATTATATGGAAGTCCTCTGAATATGTACGGTGTTCAACTTCCTACCATACCTGCCCCAAACAGTTCCGAGATATCTGTTCTTCAAAACCATCCCTCCATAAATAACAAGGGTCTTCCTTCTCATGTGACAACCCCTACCCATCCCAGTGTTATCACACCTGTCCAGAATAGGCCTTTAGAAACAGGTCCACCGTCTAATGTAGTGATCAGTAAATCTGATTTGATCCCAACAGTAGCTCCTCCAGCAGTTAGCTTCAGTGTTACAGTTCCTGCGCAGCATAGGTTTGGTGTTGTTCCACAACCACCTACTACTCCACAGCAGAATAGGCTTCAACCAAGCACTCCTCAGTCTGCATATAAAACACCTGGAACTGGGCCTTCTACCCCTCATGGCTTTCAGATATCTCTCCCAACATCCTCTCCTGTAGTTCCTGTGTCACCTTTTAAAGATGAAGATGCCCCTGCTGTTCCTCTTACGACCCAGTCACTTCTGTCATCTGTGCCCTCTCCAGCATATTCAGCTGTCACGCCCTCTCCAGACAAAGGAATTGTCACCAGCTCCTCGAAGTCCAGGATGTCAAGTGGCGGAACTCCAAAAGCTCGCGAACCGTCAATTGGTGAAGAGCCTGAGGAATATGAACCGGAAGTTGATTTCAAGCCTGTTGTCCCACTTCCAGAGGAAATTGAGGTCATCACTGGTGAAGAAGATGAGGATATCTTGTTTGAAGATCGTGCAAAGCTTTTCAGATTCTCAGATGATTCTAAAGAATGGAAGGAGAGAGGTCTGGGCCAGGCTAAAATCCTGAGGAATAAAGAAACAGGACAAGTCCGGTTTCTTATGCGAAGAGATCAAACCTTTAAGATTTGTGCCAATCACACTATTCTTTCCGAAATTAAACTTGATTTGATGAAAGGAAACACAAAGGCAAGGATTTGGGGTGCTCAGGATTTCTCTGATGGAGAATTAACCACAGAAAAGTTTTGTATAAAAATGAAGACTGAAGAACAGATTGAGAAGTTTCATGCTGCATTTGTTGAAGCCGCTAAGACTGCTGTATCAAGGAGCCCTAAGAAGCCGGAAAAGGCTGTTGAAAAAGCTTCAACGGGGAAAAGTTTAGCCGATTTTGCTGCTGCCCAGAAGTCTGGCAGCTGGGAGTGTGAAGGATGTCTTACTAGAAATGATAACGCTAAGATTCAATGTCTAGCCTGTGAAGGAGCAAAGCCAGGTTGTGAGGAAGAGGTTAAGAAACTGAAAGAAGCAGCAAAACCTGCCGCAGCAGTCATGACCATTGGTGCGGGAGGAGGATTCAAGTTCGGAGGAGGTTCTACAACTTCAGGACCCAGTTCATCTGGCTTCTCTTTCGGTTCTACAGAAGGAACTGCTAAAACTTTTCAGACTGGTGGCATTTCATTCGGAACTCCCAAGCTTGCTTCATCGGACACTGTCAGTTTTGGAACACCAAAAACAACAGAAATAGGCTTTGGAGCTCCAAAGACAAATGGAGCATCTCTTGGAGGTTTTATTTTTTCAACTACTCCAACAGTAGCCAAGCCTGAAGAAAAAAAAGTTGAAGCGATTTCTTCTGCTGAAGTTCCTAAACCCAGTCCGTTCTCTGGATTTTCATTTAATACTGGTTCAAAGATTGAACAAGTCAAACCTGATGAGAAGAAGGAAACAGAGAAACCAGTTCTTGGAGCAAATACATTCGTTAGTTTTGAATCCCTGGGTAAACAATCTACTGAAGGTATTGCATCTGATCCAAACTTTAAAGGTTTCAATACAGTCGGATCTAAACTGTTTACTCCTCAGAAAGCTGAAGAAGATGGAGAAGGTGGTGATGCTGAGGATTATGAACCTGATGTTCAGTTCCAACCTGTTATTCCACTTCCAGAGTTGGTTGAAGTTAAAACTGGAGAAGAGGATGAAGACATTCTATTCTCAGAGCGAAGCAAACTGTTCCGGTATGTGCCTGAGAGTAAGGAATGGAAAGAGAGGGGAATTGGAGAATTCAAGATTTTGAAAAACCGCGCATCTGGTAAAATACGTTTCCTGATGAGAAGAGAGCAGGTTCATAAGATTTGTTGTAACCATAATCTTACTGTAGACATTGAGATCAAACCTATGGCAACTTCTGACAAGGCTTGGACATGGACAGCCCCAGACTTTTCCGAAGGAGAGATTAAGAACGAAGTGTTTAGTCTTAGATTCAAGAATGCAGATATTGCTGGAACCTTCAAGACTGTAGTTGATGATTGCCAGAAAGAATTGAAAAATAAGCCTTCAGTTTCCAGCCGTACTGTTCCTCAAACCACCGATTCTACCAATCCAAGCAAAGGTGGAAGTTTGGCTGATTTTGCTGCTGCCCAGAAGTCTGGTAGCTGGGAGTGTGAAGGATGTCTTACTAGAAATGATAACGCTAAGATTCAATGTCTAGCCTGTGAAGGAGCAAAGCCAGGTTGTGAGGAAGAGGTTAAGAAACTGAAAGAAGCAGCAAAACCTGCCGCAGCAGTCATGACCATTGGTGCGGGAGGAGGATTCAAGTTCGGAGGAGGTGTTACTCCAGCCAGCAGTGGATCAGGTTGGATTATTTATATAGTAATTGGATTTAAAGCGGATAATTACTAGATAAATCTAGTTTTTACCGTAATCTTCGTGGGACGTATTTTTTTGAATTGGTATGTATTAAATGCTTGGTAAGCAGGTTTTCATATAGATTTTATTTTGATCCTTTTATTCCGTTTTACTTAATTTGTTCGTTTTTTCAAGGATTTGTGTTCGGTGGGGGATCCTCTACTGCCACATCAACACCAGGTTTCAGTTTCGGAACTCCAAAATCCACCGCTGAAGTGTCGAAGGAGGATTCTCCTAAACCTCCGTTTGGAACCAAGGACACCCATGAGTTTAGTTTTGGTGGGATTAGAACAAGTCCAAGAAAGCACAATGAGAGTACAACCTCTGAGAATGATCTTTACCAAGAGGACGAGGGAGAGAATATATACTTTGAACCTGTTATTCCACTCCCAGAGAAAGTTGATGTTAAAACTGGTGAAGAGGAAGAAACTGTTCTCTACTCACACAAAGCTAAGGTTTTCAGATTTACTGACGGAGAATGGAAGGAACGTGGAATTGGGGATATTAAGATTTTAAAGCACGAGAAAACTGGCAAAGTTCGTTTGTTGATGCGACGGGAGCAAGTTCTAAAGATTTGTCTAAATCATTATGTGACTCCTCAGCTTGTTTCTAACTTCAAGGAGAAAGACACTAAGTCCTGGACCTGGGCGGCTCAAGACTTCTCTGATGGAGAACTTACAAGTATGACATTTGCTCTCCGTTTCAAAACTCCAGAAATTTCTTCGGACTTCAAATCTGCTCTTGACACTGCTATGTCTTCTTTCGGAGCCCTTACTCCCTCTGAATCTAAACCAACCGAGTCAGTCATCAAACCATCGGTTTCTGAACCTGCTTCAAAGCCTTCTCCAAGTGTAAACGAGGATGAAAACCTGTTCCCTCTGAAAGATTTTAAACCCTTAAAACATATTGAACGTGAGAATGAACTCAGTTTTGATGGTCTTGGATTGAAGTTAAACACAGAAGAGGATGCTAAAGGTAAGAAATGTTATCAATAACCAAACTTAATAGTTCTGAGATATAGAAATCCCAATAAACTTTAATTTATTTAAATGGAGTGTTGGCGAACAATTAATGGGGTATAGGCTGATATCTATTTTTACTTCCTACTGTTTGCGTCTATGAAGAATAAATGATTAAAAACGGGCGTCTTATACCCAAGAGCGTAGTGTCCATACAAATTCACGGAGTTTCATAATTCCACTCTGAACGTAAATAATTAAATTTAATTTAAAACTACTCACTCAGATAATACAATCTACATTTGTTGAATTCTATTCAATGCACTCGTATAAAATTGATATTTCATATTATATCATATCTGTTCGGTTCCATAGTAGTAAAGCTATCGTGTAAGAATTCCCATTATTACACGGTTCAGGAGGAAAATTTTAATATTGTTCGCTTCCTTGCGTTTAAGAATGCTTATTCTTACACTGAAGGTGTAGAATTTTCATTCTTTAACGCTCAGACCGTGTAAGAATGGAAATTATTACACGGTCAGAGCGNTAACTCAGGCCTGCGGCCTTCGTTAAAGAATGCATCAAGATTATTTCATCTCGTTTAAGAATTTCCATTATTACATTTTTTTCCTCATAAGATTATCATATTATTATTACTTCATAAGAGTGTTACTTTTGAAAATATTCATTCCTGAAATTTCGAGGATTTTTGAAAATGAAAACCACATTTTCATATTTTCAATAAGTGCCTAGAATCCATTTAATTTTGATGTGAATCCAGATCCGGATCCTGGATCAGCACTGGAAAAAATGGATCCGGATCCGGATCCAGGTTATTTCTTTAAAATTTACTGCATTTTTTACCAGACTAGAATTTTCAATTTTGTTGTCTTATTTCTTTCGCTTATTTTTATGATAAAACTTATTATACCACATTCTTATCGGATTTACTACGTAGCCAAATCCGGAATATTTCTTGTTAATGTCACCCATTTTGTGTAATAATTATGATATTCCACGAACCAAGTGACAATATCAAGAATTATTCATAAACCATTTTGAAATCAAAAAAAATTTTATATCTAATCTTTTTTTCAATTGTTCAGATTGAGGGTTTGAGAGAAAAACATTTTTTTCCAGTTCTTGATTGATATCTTGCCCTTTGGATCCGCATTTTTTTTTATCCGGATCCAGGAAGCCAAAATTTTGCGGATCCAATGGGGATCATAAGCACTGTTTTCCATAAGGAATGTTAGAAAATCCAGCGGCAGCCGGGAAAACAAGTTTTAAGCGAAAAATTAATTTAAGAAAAAAAATAGTATGAAATATGAACTATTGAATTGAGTTCGATAATTTTAATTTTAAATGTAATTGAATTATTTACGATCTGAGTGGAATAGACGAAACAGATAAGTAAAATTAGCAGCTATCGATATCGAATTAAATTCCACGTCAACCTACACCCCCTTTCATTTTTCGCGAACAATCACTAACATAAAATTATTTATAATATTTTTTTACCAATGTTGCTGGTTGATAATACTTTTATTATACTTATTATTTAAGATGTTTCTGAAAAGATCCGTATTGAGAAAAGTATGAATACACTTACTCTATCTGGTAACACAGTTGGCATTGAGGCGGCCAAAGCCATAGGTAACAAATAAACTTTTTACTAAATAACTTTTTATAATTAAAAATCAATTTAGAAATTTTTTTTTTTTTTCTCAGGGAAAGCGCTGGAGTCTCAGCCTGAATTTCGACGAGCTCACTGGAAGGATATGTTCACAGGAAGGATGAAAACTGAAATTCCTCCTGCACTTATCAATCTTACCAGGTTAGATTTTCGTTATTTTTATTCAATACTGAGATAATATTTCGACATTTTTTTTCAAAACGATGTTGGAATTTCTTAAAGTGAGATGTTCATTTAATAAAAAACAATGGTAAGAAACAGATTAACAAATAAATTATTAAAAAGAATTAGGACTTCATTATAAACATAATTGAGAACCCAGTTTAATATTTTTTTCAGGAGTCAATTTTCCGCTCCTCCTTAAGAGGGATTGATGAAAGATGAAAAATAATGTCGTTTATTTTCTTTCATTCTTTCGGGGGGGGNTTCCCCCCCCCCCATAATAATATTTCAAGAAACATGTTACTGGTGCGAAAAAGAAGTCACATTATTTCCAAAAAAAATTTCCCATTCATTGCTTTGTATAGAAAAACATGATCAAATCATGAATTTTTTAGGGGGATTATGACGGCACATGCTCAGCTTGTAGAACTGGATCTCAGTGACAACGCTTTCGGACCCATAGGTAATATTTACACTCAAGTTCAAACAGAATTTATTAAATAAGACTTGATCGATTATGTTTCTGACCTAAAAATGTATTACAAAGCTTAGAATTAATTAGAAATGTACGTTAGATCATGCTTTGATAATTATCAAAGATATAATACTCTAGTGTAGGTTTGAAATGTGCTTATTTTGGAAATAAATATATTTTTTTTAGGAATGGAGGGTTTAACAACTTTTATGACATCTCCTTCCTGTTTCACCCTCCAGGAGCTAAGACTGAACAACACTGGATGCGGAGTAACGGGAGGCAAGCTTCTGGCTAAAACTTTGTTAGAGTGCTACCATCGAGGGAAGAGTGTAGGACACCCATTGGCCTTGAAGGTGTTTGTCCTGGGTCGAAGCCGACAGGAGAACGAGGGAGCTAAAGCCCTGTCTGAGGTATTTAAGCTGATGGGAAGCCTGGAGGAGGTAGTTATGCCTCAAAATGGAATTTATCACGAGGGTCTGACTGCACTTGCAGACGCTCTCAGCTGTAACCCTAACCTACGAATCCTCAACCTCAACGATAATACGTTCACAGACAAAGGTGCTAAGGCGTTTTCTAAAACTTTTAAAAAATTGAACAACCTGGAAGTTCTAAATCTTGGAGACTGTTTGCTGAAATCTGCTGGAGCCAAACTAATCTCCCGTGCGCTTAAAAACAGACATCCAAACCTGACAGAACTAGTCTTAGACTCAAATGAAATTCGTATATCTGGAGGTCTCGAGATCATAGACGTAGTGGCAGGGAAAGATAAGCTTGAGAAACTGAGCATTGACGGAAATTGGTTCGGTGAATCAGGAGCAGAATTATTGAGTAAGAAAATAAAAGCTCTCGGTAAGTCGCATATTCTTGGGTCCTTGGAGGATAATGAAGAGCCGGATGAAGACGAACCTGATCCAGAACTCGAGGATGAAGATGAAGTGGAGCCCAAAACCGTCTCTCCGCCCAAACCAGTTGGATCTATTTTCTCTGGCAGTTCAACCCCGATTATATTTGGTGAATCATCAAGTGTGGCACAGAACTTGTTTGGAGGTTCTTCTAAACCTCTCGGCTCCAGCATCTTTGGTAGCCTAGCGCCAGCAACAACCGCCGGATCATCTATTTTTGGCGGATCTACTCCAAGTAATGTTGAAAAACCCTCACTTTTTGGCGGCGGTATTAAACCCTCTACTGGACTTTTTGGAGCAAGCAGTCAGCCTTCTTCAGGTCTGTTTGGAAGCCCGGCTGCTGCTGGGAGCACCTTGTTTGGAAAACCTATAACTAACTCTTCATTTTCCTTCTCATCTCCATCCTCTGTAAAGTCTGAAACTAAGCCTGACTCAATGTCGGAAGCTGGAAAACTTTTCAATTCAGATCCCAGCTTTAGCTTTGCTTCATTGGCCTCCGCAGGGGAAAGCAGTGGATTCGGTTTTGGAGAAAAAAACGAAGGTTTTAAATTCGAAGGTTCTGGTGCCAAACTGTTTGGGAAAGCTGAAACCTCTCGTAACGATGATGATGACGACGAAGAGGATGAAGACGGAGATGGACATGATCCTCACTTCGAACCAATAGTTCCCTTACCAGAGCTGGTCAGTGTTACAACCGGAGAGGAGGAGGAGGAGGTACTCTTCAAGCATAGAGCCAAGGTTTACAGATTCGACACCGATACTAAGGAGTGGAAGGAACGGGGTGTAGGAGATATCAAGATTCTCAAACATCCCGTCCGAGGATCATTCAGAATTCTTCTCAGGAGAGATCAGGTATTAGGGTTAATGAAAATTATTATGAAAAATAACCGAGTTTATCAGTAGCTTAAAATTGATAATATGCAATCCCATGGCTTGGACGGGTTCAAGTGTGCCAGAAATTGCCACCCATTATTGTTTACCTTTTTATCTATAATTAAATTGTATTTTCCAGGTTTATAAAATCGCCTGCAACCATTTGATCAACAAGGATATGGAGTTGAAGCCCCTGGCTAGCAGTGAGACGGCCTGGTGCTGGTTTGCCATGGATTATGGAGAAGGTTGTGAAGAAGGAAGTTTAGATAAACTGGCGGTCAGGTAATAATTCTTTCAAGAGGAGTTTTAAACTTTACATTTAAGATGGCGCAGATTTACAATGCCTGAACCATCCACATCGGAACCCTTTAACTTAACGCGATGTGTGAAGACAGATGTTTTTTTTCAATGTCTCATCAACCGGTTGATATATTCAGAGCCTAAAAACTGCGGGTTTCCGAAGTGGTATCAATACAAAAGATTCTGAGAGAAATTAAATTTTTCATTGACAATTGATTTGGATATATTTCATTATAGATTAGTTGTCAGTTGTATTTTTTTAATCGAAAATCTTCCAATAAAATAAGGTAAAGCTGACACCGTTTGAAGGCCGAGGTTTAGAATAGTTTGTGCCAGGGGTGTATATTTTCTTAAATCAGATATTTCAGGTTTAAAACTAAAGACACCGCTGTAGAGTTTAAATCTAAGTTTGAGGAATGTCAGCGTGAAATAAAGTCTGGCCCTTCGCCTGCAGTTGTAGAGAGTGGCAAGGATAGAACTGAAACCTCAACAACCGGGACAGATGAAACCCAGAAATATCAGGTGGGATCATTAGTACATCTTTATTTATGTCAAATGATCAAAAGCCATGTAAATTAACAGTGATTTTTTTTAACCACATCCTTACTGGGAGGGAGGGAGGGTGGTTTGCGATTTTCTTAAATTGTCTCATTTCCAATATTTCAGACTAAAAACCTAGCATTCACATTAACAGTAAAAACCGAAATGATTCTGTTGTAATATGTCAAACTATTTCTATATATAGACCTAATTGGATTATTAAAACCCCTTGTATTTTGGGCTCCATAAAAGCCCATTTAATCCAAGTTTAAATTATTATATTTAGACAGAGGATGGCGACGAGGATGAAAGCTACTATGATGAAGAAGATGATGAGGGAGATAACACCCCTATGTTTGAAGCAGAAGCTGAGTTGATGGTCAGAGAAGAGGGGAAAGGTTGGTCTTCTCCAACCCAAGTAATTCTCAGGTATGGCTTCTTCAAAATTGAAGAAAAAAACTGTTCGTTTACTTGTTCAAAGTCCAATATTTTGTATTTTATTGTATTTAGAATAATGTACGACGAGGACGTGTTCGGAGCCCGGATAATTGGTCGTGATGTTGAGGCAGAGGATGATCAACCAGATCTTTGTGATCATGTGATAGCCATGCAGAATATGTAAGCTGATAATTTAAACTGCTTTTTACATTATTTTGATCTAATCGTATGCGAAGCAACTTGAAGTGTCAACGTGATTTTCATCAACTTAATTAAAGATGTACACGCCCGATTCACGATTATGCCTTTAAAATAAATCCTTGTTTGAGCAAAAATGAAAGCGATTTCCTTGTTTTTATCAGTGCTTAGGATCCAAATAATTTTGATGCGGATCCGGATCCTAGATCCGCACTGGAAAAAAGTGGACCCGGATCTTCCACATTTTAAGGGTGCTTTGAATCGGGCATATAACTCAATTAACCATTTAGATGTGTGGGGGGGGGGGTCAACTTTTTCACTTTTTGTTATGAAAACTCTTTAGGAAAAGAATATACACAAATTGTCGATGTAAAACAGCAATTACCATTTCTTCACATCTGTATAATCTGTTTCAAATTGATATTGATAATCAGGTTTTGCATCGGAGTAAAATTATGTTAATTGTTTAGTCTTGAGGATGATCTGAGCTGGACAGCTCTGGATTATGCAAGTGAAGATCCTGTCAGGAAAACCTTCAAAGTTTCCTTTAATTCCCGGGACATCATCAACGATTTCAAGGATACATTCGCACAGGGCAAGGTTAGTTTTTTTGAGGTTTTCGGTTTTTCGTCCGTTCTCCAAAATCTTTGTTTGATAAAACTAAATGGTGTAACGCTGTGCCCTGAAGACATACTGGGGAATTCCACCATGGCCGGGTTCACTTTCAGATTTACACTTTTGATTTGATTTGATTTGATTTGATTTGATTTGATTTGATTTGATTTGATTTGATTTGATTTGATTTGATTTGATTTGATTTGATTTGATTTGATTACTGGAGTGTTTTGGTAACAGCTTTTAGCGCTATCTAAGCTCTCCTATTGCTATAGTTTCACATATATTGTATGTACTCCAGTTTGTATAATAAATGCTTGATTGTTAAGGAGTTTGCTGAGCAGTGTGAGATACTTGAGACCGGGCCTGGAGAGGAGCTGGATCCGTCCCAGGCTTATTACGGAGTTGGAGGTGATTAGAGGTGACATATTAAAAAACACAAATTCTAAATAAGAAATTAAATTTCAACTATATGTTATAACTATTTATCATGATCAGTACTAATTCCTTCAGATTTTGATATCTCTACTTTACTGTCATAAGTATCATATGTATTGTGTTGTGTACAATGTATTTTGTATTTATATTGATTTGTTGATCATGTGGTCTTTGTTTAGGATTAGAAAACTTCGTTAGCTGTGATCCAACTCTCTCAGCGACTCTCAACCAGATTTTTAAATAAACCCGACTCATTCACCTCAATCTTCGAAATCTTAGTGAAAATTAATTTTGTAATGATAAACTAAAAATAATTTAGTTCATTTTAAACCACTCACTTTTGTCAGTGATCTTCGAAATCAATAAATATTTTTCTTTAAATCTGTTATGTTTTGTAAGTTCACAATAACGGAGTAGTTTTGTTTGGACTGGGAATTGAACATGTTAGGAATGACCATAGTTTCGTTTAACACTGCAGTCATTAGATTTCGATAGCTGGTTCGAAAAAGCATACTGGTAAAAAAATCACAAATGTTTACATCTTTCATCTTTCCGTGATAAATTGTTGGAACTAACATTGAATTTAGATTTTTTACATAAAGAGAAAAATTTCTCAGGAAGAGGGATTTGTGATTTTTGTTTTGCATTTTTGCACTGTTCACATCGATAGCTTGATCTGTAGTTAATCTACAGATTCAATAAACCGTGATGTGCCAATTAGATATCCGTAAATTAGCCAATCAGAAGCCAGTGATATTTGTGTTCAAGCAGTGAAATTGCTGATATCCATAAAAGGATCAAGCAGGGTGCGGGGGCCCTCGTGTATGAAATGATCATGTATGATGTGGGCAAAAAATGCTAAATTTAAGTAAGTAAGAATTTAAAACCTCCAAAAATAGAGGTTGTGGGAATATTTCCCCACATTTTGAACCAATATAAAAATATAAAGGAAAGGTAAAGTTACATATTTATTCTTTACATAATATTTAATATAAACTGGTGGCGGATTATTAGTAATTTTCCAAGATGAACTATCAAATTTTAGAAATGTAAATGATAGTTTTATTTGTAAGTTTTAAAAAAATAAAATAGGCTTTATGGGTTGTGAAAGCCTTTCATAGTTCATAGAATTCATAGTTTTAAATATCAAGGATCTACGACATCGGTGGCCGAATTTAAAGAATTTGAGCGGCGGCTTAGATTTAATCCGCGGTTTAAATATGGTTGGTTCCACTTAAGATTGTGTCAAATGTTTCAAGATTTAAGCCGGCGCTAACTTTATACCGGGTTTTGGCGGATTTAAACCGCGGCTCAAATTCTTTAAATTCCATCTCAGGTTGCACAGATGTAGGGATTATAATTTTGAGTTTGTGGCAGAAACTCTTTTTCCTTTGGACCTCTGATAATGTAATAAACAAATAAATGTTCTAATCCAAGAAAAGTCTTAAGTATGAAATGTACGGGTACGGCTCTTTGATAAAGATAAAAAACTTTTCAGTACTTTAGTCAAATAGGGATTTTTAGGTGGGGCACAAAATCTTCTAGGGGTGCACAAACAATCGGCCCCCCCTAAACTACAGCTCTCGTACGCCCCTGATCAAGTAGATTCTGCACGGAAAATTCAGAAGTGGGTAATAAGATAATGGGTATCCTACAGAAGAAACAAATTTTCAATAAGATGGGAAATATTTCGTGTTAGAAATGTTTAATAAGTATTCTTCCTGTAAAGAAATTTTTCTTTTCTTTTTTGGCTATTTTTTGTTGAAGCTTGATTTGGAATACAGAAGTTTTTGTTGAAGCTTGATTTGGAATACAGAAGTTTTTGTTAAAGCTTGATTTGTAGTACAGAAGTTTTTGTTGAAGCTTATTTGGAGTACAGAAATTTTTGCTGAAGCTTGATTTGGAATACAGAAGTTTTTGTTGAAGCTTGATTTGGAATACAGAAGTTTTTGTTGAAGCTCGATTTGGAATACAGAAGTTTTTGTTCAAGCTTGATTTGGAGTACAGATGTTTTTGTCTTTAAATCCCATGATATGATTTGACAGGAACTTAACTGAGGCTGGATATCTTTAAAATTCGGTGATGGTGATGGACCAAACCTCTGTATTAGTTCCACATTTATTAAAAATATATTTCGGTCTGGGTTAACCCTCTTCTGTCACAAAGGTTAAAAACAAACTGGATATTTTTAAACTTTGTATTACAAGGTTGTACTTGCTATATAGAAACCTCAATCAAGAGATGAATGCATCTCAATACTCATCTTTTTACATGTTGATCTTTGTTAATTACACAAATCTTTTAATCAGGACATAATTCAACAATATTCAACAATATTCATCAATATTCATCAATATTTAATTTGAATGGACATAAACGTAACTTGCAGAACACAAATATTTTAAAAGCTTACGATGCTAGTCAGCAGAAAAATGTTTTTATTTCTACAAGAAGCCCCCTCCCCATTAGTTTTTTTTGGGGGTTTTGTTTAAAACTTTACCATGCACATATTCGGGTTGTGGAGCTTTCTTTGACTCTATTGTTGCTTTGTCAAAACAATCCAACAAAAATTGTAACTTCTTGTCTTGTGTTTCTTGTATCTAGTCTGCTGAGTTGAACGGCCCAGCAACAAGTATACTGCGTAGTTAAATCTGCTGATCATGAATATACGCCTGACATACAGGGATATATATTTACTCGTGGAATTAAAGAATTGAAGATGGTGTTAAAAATAAACTGTGATCAAAAGACGATTCGAATTCTATCCATTCTATTCCTATGTAATATGTAATATTTCCGCCCATTGTACCTTAGTAAAACAATCTTTCAGAGGCAAGCATAAAAACATTTTTATATGATTCTATTAGTAGAAATGTAATCATTTAACCTATTACGATTGAGATCCTTTTTCCGACGTACTTTCTGAACCTTTTTTTTAAATCCTCCCTTGCACCGAACCATTTAAAATAGTGGTATAAATTTTAATGAGCAGGCCTTGAAAAGTTTGACTAGGTTGGGGTTGGAAAACACCCCACCCACCAACCCCTCCTAATCTATAGACGAAAATAGCCCACTCGGGATAGGGTGGAGACTATTTGACTAATCAATTAAGGCTAAAAAGAAAGTATATTTTTTACCTCTACTAAGTCTTTAAAAGTATAATATGCTGCTATATGTTTTTAGAAGTCATTTGATAATATAGAATATGATATGTTTCATGTTTACAGTAAACATCAAAGCACCCTCCATAACAAAAAATACAGTTTTATATTTTCAATCATGAATATGATGCCATGACAAGATAAAGTATAGCGTTTTGACGCAGAAAAGAAAAACTAAACAAAAACGACTACATAACGATACATGAGCAAATATTAGTTAGGCAGTGAACACTTTTAAATTTGTTGGTTCCTAATCAAAAGTTTAACTTTCGTAAAATTTAGAATATTATTTAACCCTGTTCTCCCAACAACCTAATATTTTCAAAACAAAAACAGAAGGATCGCCAAGTTGACCTACGCAGTAGCTGCCTGGATCAGGTATAAATGCAGGAGAGGCTTAACCTAAATCAGTTGAATTGAGAATTACAAGAACACAACACTTATTAATGGAGAAACTTGGAGGCAGGGTCAGGTAATTCGTACAACACTTTTTACGCACTTTTATCTTTTCATTAGATTTTTTTCATTTTCGTGTCTTATCCTTTTTTATTTTGTTAGTTTTTGTATTTTTATCTTCAGCTGCAAATTATATTTTGTTGTTTGGTGACATTAGATATCTTAGAAATGGTTTTTTTTAGAATTTTATCCAATTTTACATCGAAAGGTAAAAATGCACGACTGACTCGTAAAACATGACAAACAATATAATTAAAGATTTAGAAAAAATAGACTCAAGCGATCGTAAACATGTTTATGGAGTTTCCCTCTAGACATTTATTTGTCAGTTTGTGCAGGTTGATGGCAATATTTATTTTATTTTAGAAGAACTTGAAAAAATTCGAATTAAAAAAATATTGAAATTTTAAACAAAATTTTTTTTTGCCTTTTTTACCCCAGGGGTATTCAAGGGTTCCTTAAAAAATTCAGCCAATTTATTTCAGCCGTTTGGCCAGCTTTAACTAACATATATTTATGAATACAAATATATAATAATATGAGCGAAGAGCTTTATTATATAGAAAAAGCATAAATTAAATAATAAATAAAAGTTTTAATCTATATGATATTTTGTAGAAGAGTTACTCTAACAGAGATAGAGGAAGGAAAAGAATGGAACTGGCCAAATCCAGAAAATATTGATGAACAGGTATTTTTTCAATAATCATTTGGTACAAAAGTATATACAGGGTGTCCCAATAAACATGGGAATTCAGTGACGAATTAGATATCGTCTTTTTAAATAGGTATCTTTAAATAGGTATCACAATGCTAATTCATAACAAAGACTATATCGAATTCGTCACTGAATTCCCATGTTTTTTGGGACACCCTGTACAATAGTTGTTAATTTTCCCCGAAGCAACTTCCAAAGTGAATGAATTTCAAATTACATTGTCATCTGTCTATTATGACTCCCCAATAACACAAGTGTTACCAGGTAACCACCCCTCCCTGCAACCCAGAGCCCCCTTTGGAGTGTTGGAGAGTTAGCATGACATGTGCAATGATACTGTTATACCCGAGTGGCGGTAGCCGAGCCGTGAAGCCCGAACTACCGAAGCCTGTATCTACAGCCCGGTATTAAATATGACTTAAGTTTGTTTTTCTTTTTAAAATTTCCTATGGCCTTCTGGCCCAGCCACTGCTCTACACTCCAGATAGTTAAGATATATTGTAAAGGAACTATAGATTTTAATACTATCACCTGAATGAAACTGAATAAAGCGATTAATAATTTGTAAATGCGTATCCATTTTAAAATGCTATTACTGAAGTATAAGTGAAAATTAAAAATTCTAGATTGCAAATGAAGAGCAAAACACGGATGAAATCTTTGCTCAGTTTGAAGATTTAGTTCAGGTAAAATATTTTTATTTTCTTGAATGAATATCTTTTGATCCTAAACTAATTCAAATTAGAGCTAGGATGTATATGCATATTGCATAGTTCACCCATCGACAGGCCGACTACGAAAGTAGCTTTTCTATCAATTGAATGAATCTAATTAGATATTTTAAAAGTCTAGCTAAACGATACCCTTCAAATCTTTATCTTTATCTTTATCTTTGGAAAACTTCATGAACTATTACGAAAGGTAAAAGCAAGAAAATTGTGTTACTTTATAAAAAAGGTTTAGATGGATTGTTGTGAATCATTCATGGTACTTGAAGCATCACATGAAAATTCATTGGCAGTCCATTTGAAAATAATAATAATAATAATAATAATAATAATAATAATAATAATAATAATAATAAATAATAATTTATATTTAGGACTGGAAGCTGAAGCTTGAGTTGATTGTAGCGGATGGGTTGAGGAAAATGAAGAAGAATTGTCGGGAGAAGAAAACTCAGATGAAGTTTCTACCCGGAGACAGAACTAATGAACGGTTTGTATTCATGATTTAATCATTTTAGTTTCTAATCTTCTAATGATATGTTCACTGTTCAGGGCAGATTTAATTGCAGGAGCTAGAGCTTGTATCCTGGAGGAGTGGAAGAGAGAGATGAACCGAACTCTGGGTGCTACTCAACACAGGCTGAGTAAACTAAACCAGGAGAAGATCCAGGAAACTAGCCAGCTTGTATCTAAGAACTCCAGACCTCACCAAATCATTGCTGCTGGATACAACCTGGAGGACAAGAAGGAAATATCTACCCTTGTTGATCTGAAGGCTTTGATGCGAGACCTGGACGGATTGTTCAATATGTACTCTATCAAGAAGGGAAACAGGAGCAAGGTACCTGTGTATAATAATCTAGTTGGATTAAGTAAAAAGATGTGTCAGACATCTCATTTTGATTTGTGGAAACCAATCTGTTCTCTGCTCAGTATGATCGATTTTCCAGCCAGGAGAGCAATAACTTATAAGGAAAAGGAGGAGGAGATGCTCGACATCTTGAAGGATTTTACTGTAGATCACAGATCTAGAAAAAGTCTGATCTCTGAATGGGAGAATACTTTTCAAAAGAAGGAAATGTCGGTAAAAATAAAAAAGGAAGTAAAAGGACGAAGGGGAAGTAATTCCACACAACGAATGCTGGAAAGAAAAGAAAGAAGAAAGTTTGCGCTCAAAGAATTCGAGTCAAAAGGTAAAAAACATTTCCTTGTTGTTAGGAAGCAGGTTGAGAATTTTGAGATACCAGAGGACATCTTTTCTGATTGGAAAGCTAATCTTGCAAAAACAAAAATAAAGAAGCAAAGAGCTAAAAAGCAAACTAACCGAGCACTGAGGAAACACTTAATTAAATCTTCTATATCTAAGGACTTTAGACCTAAAACATACTCTGAGGCTGTGCAGAAAAACTTGAAAAGAACTGAGCAACCTGCTGCTGAGGAAATATTTGAATATTTTACTAGATACCTTGAAGAGCTGAACCTTGTTCTAGAGAACCCAGGATCTGTAAAAGTTGAAGATATGGCGGATATCTTCCATCCTTTCAGGCATAATTTTCACGTTCCCGAGGATAGGTTGGAGGACATAGATATTCTAGTCTCTACTACTTGTATTCCTTCACTTGATATGTTTCAGTGCGGAACTACAACTATAAAAACTTTTCCAAAAGTATCCTCTGAGTCACCCAAGAAAACATCCTCTAAGAATTCATCCTTCATAGCTGCTGAAGCAAAGAGACAGGCAGCCTTTAAGGCATCTTCTAAAAAAAACCCTAAAACCGGTGTTAAAGTATTAGCCTCCGGAAAAGCTAATGTTTCAGGAAAGGAAAACAAATCAGAAATCCCAGTTCCACATCCAGCAGTTAAAAAGATGGAACTTGAGACGGATAGGAGTGAGAATCCTGTAGAATCAGTATTAGAGGTCCACAAGGAATCAAAACCATTAAAAGAATTTAAAAAGCATAAGATATCCCAAGGGACAAAACCGATGGAACAAGGATATGAAGTAATTTTTCAGGACTGGATATTCAATCTCCAAGAACCCCAAATGAAAACCCTGAGCAAGAAAATCCCGAAACCCCAGTCTCAACCTGAGAAATTGCACCTTGACGATGGATTCCAAGACTACAAGGATTCTCTGAGACAAGATTTTGACAAGATTGTAAAAATTAAAGACAAAAAGAGGAGTCAAGCTGAAAGAAGATCAACAGGACGAAAGATCAAGTAGCTACGTGAAAATTAATTTATTTTATTTATTTTACTCAGAACATATTTGAAAAATAACTTGTAAGATTTAAAAATTTTATATTACAGTTATCCCAAGAATAAATATATATTAGAAAAAATTTAAATTCTTTTTAAACATGACAGCTTAAAGTTTATCTTAATTAATATTAAGGAAGCATGGAACCCAAATTCAAGGAGTAGCAAAAGGTAGTTGAATCAAGTTGAACCCCTTCTCTTGAACTTGAAACGGCAGAAATGTTAAAGTTTAACCAATTCTACAGATTTCGACCTATTCTTATTGTTCATTAGCTTTGGTTTGTGAAGTGAAAAAAAAATTAATTCAATTTAGTTTTGCATTTGCGAGCTTATCTTATTCATGTTGAACTCGTTTTATGATAAGTTACGTTTCAAAGGAAACTCTTGTTATTTTTTTAGGTGGACTGTATTTTTTTGTACATAAAAAACTTTAAATGCAATTTCTTTCAGATTATTCATTGTGGTACTTAATTACTTTGATTACATGGAGTTTACATCATTAACTGCTAATAATCTCAATATATAATCATTCACTCAAACTTGAGAACAAAACGCTGTAAAAACTTTTTTGTAAGTGTCATTTCCTGGAGTTTATGTAAAGGAAAATTGAAATAAATTATAAAATTATTAAAAGATTAAAAAGCAGTTAAAGATGTAAAATCCGTGTATTTCTCAAAGGAATTGAGTCTTTGCCACGAACTCAAATTTTCAATCTTTGCAACCGGATGATTAAAACCTTATTTCAAACTTATATTATTTGATCTTAGATATGCAAAGATATAGGGATTTGAAAATCTGAGTTTGTGGCAAAGACTCAATTCCTTTTGTTGTCAGTAAAGAATAATGCTCAAGATTAATTAAACAAGATTCAGGCAAGATTTTAAAAACCTTTTGTTCTTGGCCCTACATGAAATACTTTTAACTCTTTTACTATACCATATTAGAACAATACCATTTACTTGTTTTTTTTTAGTTCAATTCCAAAACCCCTGAAGACCTTATTATTTCAAAGAGTTGCAGACCCGATTCTCCCGGTATCTTCTATATTGATACTTGATAAAGGTTTAATTCATATTTTTATTCAACTACAAAGCATGAGATATTACAAATAAACAATCACAATCTACTATGCAGTTTGGACCCGCCTAACCAGGGTAGGTTTTTTTTGGTGGTTGGCCCTAAGTTAATTAACGATACTGAATATAATCGATTACACATTTCATGTATGTTTTTTGATAGATAAGGAGTTAATTGGAAGGAAGGAGATTGTTAGGTGATCTGTTGCAGGGTGAGATCAGATGGATTAATGTAGAGATAAATTAAAATCCAGGGTGTTAAGGATGGTGGATACACAAACACAAATAAGCTAATAAAGTTTTTTTTGCATTTAAACCTCTCATAATTCTCAAGATAAATATTGATTACTCTTTGTTTGAATATTTTTGCAGATTTAGTTTCTTTAAGGTCAATTTCAATTGCATTCCACAATTTAGGTAACATTGCGGACGGAAAGCTTTAAAGATTTTTGTTTAAAACCCTGATTTATATGATTTTGTTCGATTCGCGGTACAGCAAGAGACTTAAACATATTTTTGAAGGAAGAGGGAAGGTTAACATGAAAGTATTCATGCATAAATGACAGAACACTAAGTTTGTATGTATCATCAAGAATGAGAACTTTCAGTTTTGAAAAGGCACTGTCGTTAATTGGGCAAGTAATGCTTGAAGTTTAAAACAATAAACATTACTACATAGCACATGTTTATATAAATATATATTGGTAAACCCAATATCCAGGTGTAGGGTAACCTCAGTACCGCCTCTACCCATCCTCTGCCCATCCCCTGGTTCAACCTCTATATATACCAATCCTCAATCCTCCAACCCAGTCTAATCATAACCTCCACACACTACACTGCAACCGTTTACAGTAACAACATTGTGCACACAGTTCAGAATTATTCAAATTTTCAAATTTTGGTTTTATCCCTGAGAAAATGAAATATTCAAATACAGTACATAACCTGTGTAAAGTATGCATGTTTGACATTCTACAGTTAATATGTTAATTATAATTGCAGAACATTGGCCTTTTATTCGAAACATAAACTTTTAAAGAATCAATTTTATATTTGGCGGATTATCCAATCAAGGTTTTAGTTACTTTCAGAATTGTTGGATTTCTTCAAATTATATAATATAAATAGATGTAAAATGAATTTCTGAGAGAAATTTTTAAAAAATTTCTCTGAATGAATTTTTTCAAAAATGATGTGTTTGTGTGACGGGAATTTAAGACGAAACCGAAATCCCCTAGTTTTTCTTTTGGCGTATATTGTAAGCATGGATACTCTTACTTATAAATATGCATGTAGTAGAGTATCATAGTTGTGTGGATTTTAATCCAAGAAATATAAAATATTGATTTGTACAAAACTGCTTTACTAAATTCGAGAAACACAGCCTGTAAAAATGTGATTTAGACTTTAGGTCAAAAAAGAAATCAAATAGCTCTCAACCTTGTCCTTTTTATTCAAATTAATCAATTGTATTAGACTTCATTGATTCATTAGAAGTTAGTAATTTTTTATCTTTACCCTTTTCTTTCCAATCTGCAAATTCTTTTTCTTTTCAACCAGTACAATTTTATTTAAATTTCCAACCTGTAAATTTTTCATTTTCAAACTGTATATATTTTACAATTTTCTTACAATTTCTTCTTTCCAACCTTTACATTTTTTCCTTTCCACATTGTGCTTTTTTATTTCCGACCTGTGAAAACTGTATTTTTTTATTTCAAATATTAAACTATAATCTGCACACAGTATAATTAGTATAAATTCTCCCCGTATACTTTTAACTTTATCCCACTCTACACTCTACAGTATAATTCCCAGTTATTCCACACATACAATTCCAGTAATCACACTCTTGTTGAGATTTTGTTCAAAAATCACAGATTTCTGAAAAAGGAAAACATTAAAATTCTAAAACTTCAATTCTACAAAAGAAAACTAAGAGTATTCGCTAAAACTGTACTTCCCAGATACTCCCTATACTTCCAGTTTGTGAAACTCTAAGGTGAACTTCCGAGTGTCTCCTTATACTTCCAACTTTATTAAACTCTACAGTATACTTATTATCATTATTATTATTATCATTATTATTATTACTATTATTATACTTCACAGTGTTCTACCTTCACTTCAAACTAGATTTATGTAAATTCCAGTCAGGGAGAAAAAATCTATGTAAAAAAAAGAACATGTTAAAATGCGTTTTTGGTTCGTTTTTCTTTTTTTCTCTTAGGATTAAAATATTGCTACAATACAGGCAAACTTTAACAAAAGTTTTATTAAAAGTTTTAAAAAATGAAACAACACTAAACAGCTTGTAGTTTGGTATGATTTTGTCTTTGATCTTCTAATGTTTTATAAAGAAAAAACATTATATTTGTATTATATATGGTTTCTATTACAATGAATCTATTGTTGTTACAGAATCTGACAGAATAATGGATGCATACGAATGAAGAATTAACCATTTTCTTTTGTCTTTTGATTTTGATTCAAGGGACAATCTCTCCTTCCCCCCCCCCCCTCCCTCCCTCCCCAATAATTGTGTTTTACTAGTCTGCATATTAACATTTGTTACCTGAAACTCAATAATAATATGTATATCATTATCCAGGTAATATTGGAATATATTATTCATATTTTTATCTTTGGTTAAAAATCTATCAAACACAACGTAATGGTCTTAAGATACTTTATCATTGATAATGTTTAGCCCTCAAAAGAGAATAAAAATGATAAATCCACACAAAATGGTTAAAAAAGATTTTGAAAGTATTGGCTGTGACCATTAAATCTAGACATATGAAACACTGTGCAATGGGGGTTGGGGAGTTTTAAGCTGAAAGGTTAAAGGGAACATTTAAAAGCAATTGGCAGAACCTGGGGTGTTATTATTTTCAAGAGGACCGAGGAGGAAGGACACTTCAAAATAAAGTAAATATCACGTTGGATTGAAATCTTTTATATTTTCAATAATAACTCCTCTAATTATAGAGGTATTGAGAAGAACAAAACTGTTTATAATTTCTAATATAAAACTGAATAAATTTTCTCATCCTTGTGTGTAAAATGAAAACTAGAGGAGGTACGAGGTCACAAAGTCTTATTAATAATGTCGCATAAATTTGACCTTTTCCCTCTGTGTAGTTTGCAGTGAGATGGGGAACTATTCTGAGAATTGGGGAGGATGTGGTGGACATATTTCCTTCTCTCCCAAGAAACATGTTGTTTTCTGGAAAAGTTGACAAAACTTTGTCTCAATATTCTTGATGGAACAACCTTGAGGAACCTGCATACTTCAATACACAACACACTTTACAGAGAATACTCAAATAAAGGATTAAAATTCTGAAATTCTGCAATACTGGAATACATTCTTGAATAATGGAATTAGGCAATTCTGTCATTGATGGACTTCTATAGAATATTGGAATACATTAGGGAATACTGGAGTTATGGAGTTCTACAATTCTGCAATACTTTATTGAATTCTTGGATTACGTTCTGAAAAAAAGGAATAATGGAATACTGGAATACTATATGGAATTCTAGAAAATACTGAATTACTGGATTATGTTCTGCAATATTGGATGTAGGGAACATTGGATATCTTAAATATAAAATGTGGAAATCATAATTTTCTCAAATTCTTAAAGGTGAACTATTGGGAATAAGAATATCTATATATAAATATATATAAATTAGTAATCTCTGTTTGTCTGTTTTTATTTCCGATCACAACTCAAGAAATGTTCTAAGCTTTATTTTTAAATTAAAAGAATGGGTGGACTTTTCCAGCGAAAGTTTATTTCCAGACAAAGCTGGGTTCCCGCTAGTAATAGAATAGAAATGCACGCAACGTAGAGGAATAGTTAAATATTTGATCACGAAGATTATAAATAATAAATGATTTGGAAAATTAAACACAAGGTTATTACTTAACCAAGCCTAAATGCAGATAATAATTAAAATAAAATTGAAATATTGATTACTTCAACAATTCATAAATGCCCTTAGATTAAAATACAGTGGTTGCTAGAACTTTTTGGCATAATTTATTAAATAAGGGAATAAGACAATTTTTTATAAATTAACCCCCAAATTGAAGATTAAAATGGTGTAAGGGTAAAAATTCCGTTATGGTTATCCTTTAACAGTTTACTTTCTTTCCAATGCACTTCTGATATTAAAGTTTTTTTTATATCTTTCTACTGTATCATTTATAAATGTTAGAATGCCAGAATAGTGGAGAAAGCTAACTCTAATTTATTGCTGCGAAAGCTGAAGTATAGTGTGTCGAAGAATTTCTTCTTTAGAACTTTTATTTGAATATTTTCTTAATATTGTAAAATGGAATAGAAGATTTTAATTGTCTTCCGCTGACTTTCATTTTATTCTGCCCACTCATGACATTTTTACACGTAAAGACAGATTTAAAATTCAACTTTTTATAAACCTTCTGAATATAGTATATATAGAATACATACTTATATTATATATGCTATTTAATATATATATAGAAAAGAACTTTTTACAATGGTAACAATCTTATTTTGTAATACTTATTTATTTGCAACCTGATTTCGTAGACCTTCAATATGGGTTGATGTTAACCTTTCTTGTTTGGTTGTTCTTTTGCTTTCCCTTCAACATACTATGATGTTTTATAATTACATTTGCTCGGACCTCAATCCTTTCTGTTCTTTCTGTTTTCTGGAAAATGTTATTTCTGGATTCTAGTCTCTCGCTTAACTAACAACAGGGTTAAACTCTTCTTTGGATAACCGCTTAACGTCGAGATCCACTGCGTAAAATGTCCAATAAAATTGGTAACGGCTTAAGTTGGGGGTCAGATGTTGACTCTTGGCACTGTCTACAAAAAAAAGGTGCCCAACGTTTAAGGTTAAACCATCCAAGGGGGGACCCGTCTGAGCGCTGAAGGCAAAAATTTTAGATTTAAAAGTTTCGCTCACAGAGCTAACAGGTCTGAAGATGAAATATAGAATTGTACATTCGGTCGTGTTTTTAACTGTTTAGTATACTTCAGATTATTAACTTTCTGATTCTAGTGTGAAAATTTATTGAAGAAATAGTTTTAAAAAAGTATTTAAGTTAAGATTGAAGGCACAATGGAAGTTTAACCCAAAAGATTTGATCAGAGTGAAACCAAGTTCTATGAAAGATGTGCCACGGTAAATTATATGTATTATCTTTCGTCTTTGTTTTCTTCCAGAAAATGTTTTTAAAAAATATTTTCAACTTGTTTGGGTAATATGTTCTTACTTTTAATATTACATGACATAACGTTCACTTCAAAGAATTATTTTTTATCAAACCGTGATTAAGTTTATTGAATACAGTTTAGACTTACATACATAGTTAAAGCTAGTTTGCTCAGCCTGAGTTTGTTTACATTCCTCCAACGACAGTTTTACACTTTTACGGAAACCAAGTTGACATTGTTTTTATTCTTTAGACGATGAATCTAATATTAACTTACAAACTATAAGTTGGTGTAGAATATTAACTGCATTGTTTTATCAATAAAAGGTTATACGAACAAAAATAGTTTGTTATTGAAAGTAAGAAATGCATTAAAACTATTATATTATATAGGTGCTATCGAGTATCATTGAGACTCAACAACTTGACACTATATTAGTTTAGGAAGTTTTATCAGCGTTTAAAACAATATGTTAAAGTTATTTCTTTAAGGAAATGTATAGGATGAAACCTAAGAAACTTAGACAGGACAGGACAAGAAAATTAGCTAGATGTCTCATAGATATCGTTCAACTCCTGAGATTCACAGGTGTCAGCCTATACCCCCTTTCATATTCCTTTACCATCAATTTAAAAGTTAATGCCGTAGATAATATGAACCGAAAGGTAATTTTGATATTTTATAGAAAATCTAAATATAGGTTGGCGACTAACTGAAGTATTAAGTTTATATTTAAACTGTTGTTAAACTGTTGTTGTAGGATTTCTGTAGAAACTTTCCTTCTAAATTAATATTTACAATATCTGCAGTCCCCGGACTGAACGTGTTTTTTTTATATTTTTCATGTTATTAGTGAATTATATTCAAAATATTTAAATATCTATTTCGAGCCAATCTATCAACAAAAAATAACTCAAGAAATCTCTAAATCTATATAATAATGCTCTTGACTCATATATCTATAAAATAAAACAAGAAATTTATATACATATATTATATATATTCCCTCTGGCCGACCAAACGGCTGGACCGAATGGGCTGAAATTTTGTATGGACCAAGGATGTAATGCAAGGAAAGTTATTTCAGAAGTTTACACATCTTTTGTACTGCAGTGTACTGTCTCTGGGCGGTAATGTAAACACAAGACGGATGTCAAAGCCTGACATGGGATCCATCTTTCACATAAAAAAAATCAATGAAATATTCTGGTCATAGGAAACTATTATGTGAATTATCAAAATTATCAAATTTAATGCTTTTAACCTGCTCAGATACTAAACGAAAACTAATGCATCTTTTCTTGTTTACAAATTCCGCCCAAAAAAGAACTGGTTTCAATACGTACGCAGAGTATACACGACCGCAATTAACTTTCCTTGCATTACATCCTTGGTATGGACCCCTCATGGGTGGCCGGGGGGGTGTCATAGGCTAAGAAAATTTCGTTTTTTTTCAAATTTTTATTATTTTCCACGGGCAACTCTGGGCCCTTCAGCTAGTATATATTATATATATGTGTCTAGGAATAAACTATATTAATAAACAATATAAAATGTTCGTTACTTATTTTAAGAATATATATATATTTGTATATATATTTATATTTATATTTGTGTATATATGTTATCTATAGCTGGCCGAACGGCTGGACCGAATTGGCTGAGTTTTTTTTCTTTCAAATTCAAAATTTCTTTTACAAGTGTTTTTTCAAATTTCATTGTCAACACCGCGCACTTGAGCTCGTCAACAATAAGACCCTTTACATTTTCATGGTAAAAAACTTTCTTTAACTTCATCGATTTTAAAAAGGCATGTGTTTTGAAGTTAAAGTAAAAAATGATTTAAAAAAGGCATGTGTTTTGAAGTTAAAGTAAAAAATGATTTTAAAAAGGCATGTGTTTTGAAGTTAAAGTAAAAAATGATTTTAAAAAGGCATGTGTTTTGAAGTTAAAGTAAAAAATGATTTTAAAAAGGCATGTGTTTTGAAGTTAAAGTAAAAAATGATTTAGGGACCTTTTAAATTCAAAAGGTCCGCGTATATTACGCTTCAATAGAATGAAAAGAAAGTGTTTACAATTTCACTATAATCATACTAGATATATCTTGATTTTTTTACATAAGAAATGACATTAACCCTCAGACTGTTTTGTATATATAATATATATATAACTTATTAGAACTGATATATTTCCCTTCTCCCTTCTAATTCTCCTGAGAATATTCCAACAATATCCCAGGATTAAGACTCAGATAAAACAACTTTTCCTTCTATATCAATTATTCTTTATTTTTATATCAACATAACATTTTAATTCATGTAATTTGCATAATGTCCTTTTCTCTCTCATACTAATATTGGTATTGTTCTTTCATCCTACACCTCTCCAGGTTCCTTAGAAAGTAAACGAAAATATGTACTTCAAATCTTTGTAGTTAAATTTTCAGAATATTATACATTACAGTCATTACATAAATTACACAAATGAATGGGCTCACGGTGTCATATTCTTTAATATGAAGAATAAAGTAAGTTTAGTTTTCAAATGAACAAGTTTTCATTTCAGACTTTTAACAAATGGTCCAAGTATAAATCCCGTAAACCGTTGGTGCTGTAGTCTCAAATCTGATAATCAAAATAAAGATTACTCAGCTTTAAATTTATTTTGCTATTATAGATATTTGCTTACAGGTAACTATTTTATGTAATTCTCAAGATTTTAAAGATATATTATAAATATATTGATTATGTGGTTAAAATTAGTTTAGAATAGTTAACGAATATATATGCATATATATATATATATATATATGTAAAATTATGCTAATATATGCGACATTTATTTTTACGCCCATAACATAATTTATTTATCGTTTCTGTAATTTTTTCGTTTTCAAATCCTTCAACATGTAACATGTTTAGTTTTCAAATCCTTCAACATGTAACATGTTTAGTTTTCAAATCCTTCAACATGTAACATGTTTAGTTTTGTATTTAAATCTAAATAAAATATAATTCAAGCCACAGTTTGCTATTGGCCTAAATGCTATAGAATAAAGCTCATTTATTTATGTATATATATTTGTGAGCTATAGCTAGCCAAACGGCTGGTCCAAATTTTAGGGAACCCATGGGTACCATGGGTGTAACATAGGCTTAAAAAATTGAATCTTTCTTTAAGATGAAAATTTGTTATTCCAATTTTTTAATTCTACGGGCAACGCCGGGCAATTAAGCTAGCAGCAATTCACACAATTCATCACCAACCAAGTCTTCTTTAAATTGCTGATGGTTTGGGACATTTTTAAACTTCTAACCTTTTTAGTATTCCTGGATACGTATATTTCAAAGTCTAACTTTACAAATGAAAAATTCTGATAGATTTCGTGTGAGAGTGTGAATATTTTGTTCCTAGTCCTCTAAATACAAGAAGAATGACTTTCTCCATGACTGAGATGGATCAATCTCATCGAATAAAGATGGAAGAGGAGGTTAATTGTTCGTACTTATTATTTTTCAATTTAAATCATAATTCTGGAATTTTTATTTTTGTTTTTTATTTATGAACTTTTGTTAAGGCTGAGCTAATTTTAGGAGGAGGAGGATACTCCAGTTTTATCTATTAAAGAACAGGAGGAAGAGAAGAAAAAAGCAAAAAAGAGACAATCAAGAAATGTAAGAACTATAAACCAAAGTTACATTTTGAAAATCTACAATACATAAAGAAGATAGGATGGAAACGATAGTTCAGCGGATTTGTTTAAGAAATCTTTCCTCCTTCTGTCACTATGATAAAACTTTTTCTCAAATTTTGTCTTTTGATTCTTTTTAACCCTTTTTTAATGCCACTTTTTTTTCGTTGATCTTATAAAAGTAAACTATAAAAACCCTTTCTCTAGCCTTCAGTGTCTTCTCTTATCTATTCCTTGTTGATAAAGTATGATTAAAGTTTACAAGAATTGTTGTTAAATCCTACCTACCCTCCCTAACCAACTAACCAGGGAAATCCAATTCTTAGGGAAAATATAATTTCGCCTTTCTTTGTGCAGTGGTCGTGCTATTTATTTAGACATCGTAGTAGAAGAAAATACTAAAAATGACATTTAAACTGTTTTTCAATTTTTCCCCTTGACAATGAAGACAACCTTACGAAAACTTTAACTGATCACCGGGATCAAAAGTCTTAAAATTAGACAAACTGTGGCTACATTATTTTTAAAAAGTCGGATTTATACAGCAAAGACGATTAGGAAAACTCAAGAGTATTGTAAAATTTCAAAGAATCCAATACTGTTTAGGATGATATTGCTCTTGTTGTCTGTATGGTGATTCTAGTCTTACTTACTGTTCTCACAGTCATATTTAAGGTAATACTTTACATACACCCTGTACATCTTATACAACCTAATATCTTTTCCGAACACCCTGTATCACCAAATATTTTCTAGATACACCCTATTTTTGTGGGACATCTAGGGACTCCAGGGAAGGTTTATGAATCATCAAAATTTCAAATATTTGTCTCCATCAAAATTCGATCGTCATTAAATTTTTAAAAATTTTGAAAATCCGCGAATTATTTTTGTTTTGTTTTACGATGTACACAAAGAGAACATGTTCACAATTAATTTAGGAGATGGGCGCGAAGCGCCCTCTAAGGCTAGAAAGAAGGGCGCGAAGCGCCTTGAATTTCTAGTGTTTTTAAATTACACTTTGAACCACCAATTATCTCTTTCATTCACCCTAACCACTAAATGTCTAATCTTGCAAAGTTGTTATAAAATATTTTTTTTGGTAACATTAATTTTATTTTATGCTTTAGATTATGTTTATCGACCCTGCACCGGATCCTAATCAGGTCACCTTTAAGCCTCTGAAACAGAACGTGAATTCGGTTGAAATGGCAAGCATGAACATTTTTAAATAATAAATAAAATAACTTCACAGTGCAAGAACAATCTAATAAAAAATTTAGATATTCAATTAATTTCCTATATCCTAAATATGTATTGATTTGGTCAAATTTTATCATTTCATAATTGCTTTAAATATATTATTTATTCGTGTTGCACTCATAAAAATGTCAAAAAGAAGAATACAAAGTTTTAACCAAATAATGCCCAGTGAACCTTCTGCAAAATTTCTCTTTACCAAAAAAAACTTTATTAAACCTTTTTTCGGAGAAATTAAAATTGGAATCTATAACTGACTACTTGTCTCAAACTCTAATTTTCTATTTCTTTTATTTTTGAAACTTGATGTCTTATAACTTAGATATTTCAAGCTATGAATTCTACTAGATAAAATATCAAAGTTGGCCTTTACCGTTGAAATGTGAAACATCGTTGAATTCATAGTTATATATTAAAAGTCTGCACCATCGGGTTGCAAAGATATAAGGATTATTTAATGATAGATTATGACAAGTAATGATTAATATGTTAGTATGCTGGAATGGGATACCTGCCTTGTAATGGATATGTACCTTGTCAACCAGATCATTTGTCAAAAAAAGATCTTGAAGAGAGAATGAAGGAAAAATTTCATTTTTTTATTCATTTTTATAGTTTCTGAAACAAAAACGTTACTTTTTTCCCACAGATTATCAGATACAGCGATAACAAATAAAAATTATGACGTTGTATTATAAATACATTTAGATGTCACGAAACAGCTTTATTTGTAATATTTTGACCGACCTTAGATATTTCAAACTATGAATTCTGAGGCCGATTTAAAGAATTTGAGCCGCGGCTCAAATATGGTTGGTTTCACTTAAATTTGCATTCAATATTGAAAGATTTAAGCCGGTACTCAATGGAAACCGGATTTTGGCGGATTTAAGACACGGTTCAAATTCATTCAATTCGGATTCTGTTAGATCAAATACTCTAAGTTTGAAATATCAAAGGTTTACGCCTTCTTGAGGTTGCAAAGATTAGGGTTAGCAAATTTAAGTTTGTGAAAAAAACTCAAATCCTCTTTTTTTAAAAAAAATACCTTTTTGCTAAAAAATATGATTAGTTTGATTCCCGTCGAGCTCTGATAGGTTTCCAACTGTGAGACAATAATGAACTTTAACCACAGAGTAGAAATATATTCTCTTCTCTTCACTTGGTCTAATACAGTGTAATAAGGCCTTTATAAGCAATGTCGAGACAGTTTTCCTGTCCCATACTTTTCATTATGTCCTATTTTTATTATTTATTAATGTTTACAAATATTTTATAATTAAAATGAATCAATGTGTTGAGGACGCTTTACCCTGTCATGATTACAATGGGATGGGAGATGGTCCTGAAGGTTGCTGGTAGAACTAAATTAGGGAATTGGTTTTCATTTAATAAGGGAGCGTACACGTAAATTCAAGTTACCATCCATGTGCAGAGTGTCAAGTCCGATTAACAACAGTACGCTTTGAGGGATTTATTCTTATTTTAACCGCATACAAGTTTGTATTGGTTATAATTGGATTTCATATTTAATATATAATATTGCACACTTTAGTTTCTTGGCAAAGTTTCCACATGTTAATCATTAAATTGTTAAAATTATGTCAATAATCTCTTTTAAGATCATTTTACTAAAGTTTTTTTTCTTGATTATTAGCATTTCTTTAGGTTCCGATTTTAAATATTTTCTTCCACTTCCAATGCTACATTGGACCATGCAAAATCTTCGAAAGATACCAATTTATTTTTTATTTTTTTATAAATATTAATTCAGGCCGGCGTTTTATTCCAAAAATGAAGTATCAAAAAAAAATCGTGAGAAAATTAATAAAAATTAATTACTGCATTGTGATCTATGAGTACAAAGCTCCGCTCAATTTTGTATGACTGCATGTACCAGTAGTTCGTAATTAAATTATTTATGTACAATGTACATTACATAAACATTTTGCATGCTAATTCTATATAGTAAACATTTTAAAGTGCATACACAGAAACCATTAATGTAAATTTTCTCTTTTAGTGCAAGCTAAATATTTTGACACAATTTTGATACTAAACAAAAAATAGTGTGTCAAATAATTTGGCTTTAGTTAAACAACCCGATATATAAATATGCATGAAGTTTAAAGAAATTGCATCCGACCTTAAACCTTTAATTTATGCAAGAATATTGACCCATTAGAAACTTAACTTCTTCTACTTAATATCTTTTATTTTTATATTATTTTTTGAAATCCCCAAAACTTTACCTTTTTTCTTTAGGTTATGTACGTGCCGGATTTAAAGATTAGAGTTTAAAGGAAGTGTTCGCAAAAAAATGAAAGGGGTGTGAGTCGTTTTTAACAATTTTCTCCTTATAGACGCATTAGATAGAAGTAAGATTAGTAGCGATCAAAAGCGCTTATTTTTCGCCGTAAACCTATACCCCCTTTCATTTTTCGTGAACACTCCCTTTAAACAAAAAAAAATAAAAACTGATTATTTTTTCAAATCAATAAACGATAATATAACTTATTTCTTTAGTTTTTAATGATGAAGAAGATTAAGGTAAAAATGTTTTCAGGGTTCCCTTCGTTATTTATATAACAAAAAGTTATTAAAAATAATAAAAATCCTGTCCATTAATGAAAAATACTTAACATATTGTTTGTTTTTTGCTTTAGGTTAAAGGACTCATATACAAGGGGGGGGGAGATGCGAATAACTAAAGATATTCTATTGGAATGCCCCCCCCCCTCAATCAAAGTAATATAAAAAAAAAGTGTGGTTTTGTGGCGGAGCAATTTTCAGTGACGATGGGAACAATGTTTCTTTCCTTGCTTTATGTGATACCTTATAAATAACACCCCTTACCCCGCCTAGAATGAAGTATAGGCCACCCCTAAAAAAATATTTATATTCTTATTTTATTCTGTTTCTTTAAAATCCTTCAATATACAGGAATATCTATTTTCCTTCTAATTTTTTGTTATCACTTCAGCTGGATTTGTAAATCTGTAAGAAAATTAGAAATCTAATTTGCATCATTAATTTTACATACACAAAAAGTAGGAACAAACTTGATATTGAAAGGTTTTACTGTTTCTCTGTTTATTTACAATTGCTGTACGACATGAACATATCTGAACATTGTGTTATGTAAACAAGTGTTAAATACAAATATTATTATTTGAAATAAACTGCTTGATAAAATTCTGTTCGGATAAAAAATCTCAACAGAGATTCCTTGAATAAAAAAATACTTGTTTAAATGGACGATAACAGTGCAATAAAGAATGATTTACATACTTCTTTTTTAAACCTATCATCAATTATTTCTCTCTTTTTTTAAGTTGGTAGTTTAGACAGTTTTTTATTCGTATCCCCTTTAATCTTAAAAGTTGGGCACACACGTATTAAAAGTACGGGGTGTCCTAAAAGAGAGTGATAAGGAGCTTTTGATCCCTTTTGTTCTATTTTATCCTAAAATGTTGGACCCCAGAGTCCGAATTTAATATCAAATCCGCTAAAAACCAGTTTTAATTGAGCGCCGGCTTAAATCTTGAAACATTGAACACAATTCTAAGTGAAACCAATCATATTTGAGCCGCGTCTCAAATTTAAGCCGCGGCTCAAATTCTTTAAATTCGGCCTCAGGAATAACTATCTATTCTGGAGGGAGTCTTCTGACATTTTTAATTCCAAGTCTTATTTCTGATATGAACAGAGTCAACATATCATAACGATTGCTGTTATTAATACTGTCAATTACCAAAGTTCCGAAAACTTGGTTGAAAGTCACAAAATAATTCTTGTGATAAATTGTTGACCTCTAACTTAGAAAACTCTGAGTTCTTGTTCTTCTATTGCCCTGGCTCTATGTTAAGCTAAAAAAAGCCATAATTTTAATTTTAACTGATTTTTGACAGTAGCTTTTGAAACATTTTATTAGAAATACTTTTTCTTTGACTAAATTATATGAGAGTTTGCTTTATTTTTTGCATCAAACAGAGACAGAGTATAATTTTTTTTTCTGCGCCTTCTCAATAGTAATGGGGGGTGTTTTGAGACATTCAAGTTTAACACAAACATTTTTACGTTAAAAAAGAACAATTTTAATGAAAACCTATTTTTAGGTTCATTTTTATTAATATTTCCATAAACAGCTTTTAAAAAAGTTAATTTTGCATTGCATAATGGTATTTGAAAATACAGGATGAACAATTAGATCGTCAAAAATTCTGTCATTTTAAATACTCCCCCCCCCCCATACACAACATAAAATCTACACAAATTTCTGAATTCCCAAACCTTAAACTTTTTATTGAAATTGTGTGAAATTTGTTTGTTTGTTTTCCTCAAGGATTTAAATAATAATATTCAAATTTACTCCAAATCATTAATCGCACAGATTATCTTAACAATTATTCTATGCAGTTGATTTCCAAGGGTGAGGTTGAATTGTTGAAATTGCTTTCATATATCTTCTTCTCATCTTAAACAATTTGAAGGAGCAAATATAGGAAAAGAGCCATTTTCTATTCCGACACATGTTTTAACATTTTTGGTACAAAACAATAATTTATCTCAAACACTTTGTTTTACGACCCTCTGTATCAAGGATAAAAAAGTTCTTTTACAAAGTCACACAATATTTCTAACTTTTTTGTTTTCTTTTTGTTGGTTATAGACTTAAGTAAGTACATAAAAACTTTCTATAGGGATGTATACATAGGACTGGGGACGATTGATGATTTGTCAAGATGTTTGTTAACGGTTGCAATTGGATGAATTAACGAAACCAAGATTGTTTAATATTTAACAACCTTGAACTAACGAACAGACACATAATGTAGCCGTTTTAAGCGTTGGTTTTATCGAATATTTTATATATCTAATATCAGTTACAGGGGTTTCGTTCGTTAATCAAGTTGCCATTCGTTAACGATCAGCATTCCTGACTTTATCGCATCATGTTCCTGAGTTAATCCCATCATGTTCCTGAATTAATCCCATCATGTTCCTGAATTAATCCCATCATGTTCCTGACTTTATCGCATCATGTTCCTGACTTTATCGCATCATGTTCCTGAATTAATCCCATCATGTTCCTGAATTAATCCCATCATGTTCCTGAATTAATCACATCATGTTCCTGACTTTATCGCATCATGTTCCTGAATTACCTGAATTAATCCCATCATGTTCCTGAATTAATCCCATCATGTTCCTATCTTGATCGCATCATGTCCCTGAATTAATCCCATCATGTTCCTGTCTTGATCGCATCATGTCCCTGAATTAATCCCATCATGTCCCTGAATTCATCCCATCGTGTTCCTGAATTAATCCCATCATGTTCCTGAATTAATCCCACATGTTCCTGAATTAATCACATCATGTCCTTGAATTAATCCCACATGTTCCTGAATTAATCCCATCATGTTCCTGAATTAATCCCATCATGTCCCTGAATTAATCACATCATGTTCCTGAATTAATCCCATCATGTCCCTGAATTAATCCCACATGTTCCTGAATTAATCCCATCATGTTCCTGACTTTATTCCATTTTTGAGTTTTACAAACTATGTGGACTCTCTATAATCTGAATATCTGGGTTGAAAACATTTGATGGGTCTCAATAAACACTCTGGACTAAATAGGCAGAGATGCGTTCAGTTTCTTCTATTTGAATTGAATCGCGTTTTGTTCTAAAATTCAACAATCTTTAAACTTTTAAAGTTGTCTTTTTTATATTATTTTAGTTTGAAACGCATCCACCGACAAAAAGTACGAAGGAAAAATTGAAAATGAAATTGATTTTTAATACCTATATCTTTGCTATCCAATGGTATATAAGATATTTCAAAACTTATAAAAGTTTAAAATATCAAAAGAAAATTTAAGACTCAATTCTTTAATATTTAATAAATGGTTCATCTATTAAAAATAGTATTTTTAGCTAGATTTTATCTGTCATCATGCATTTAAAAACATAATTTTTTTTTTCATGTTTTCAGAATGCAAGACATTTTTGATTCAAATTGGTCCCCTCATTTTCCAAAAACTATTTTAAAAAATCCTAGCGAGTTACCCATTCAAAATTTGAGGCAGGTCGGTCAGGCCGGGTTCCTAAGTTATAAGTAATCGAACATACAATTTAACAAAAAACAGATATTACCGCTTCCCTATTAAGGCGGTTTAACTTAATAGAAGAAACTGAATTTTTAAACTGATTTCCTTTGGAAGGTCACTATAGGAAATATGAAAGATATTTTTTTTTAACAGTTACCATATCTCCTTATAAAACTAGTAAACAAAAATTTTAAACTTAATTTTCTTTTTCTAATTCTAAAACGTGTAAGTCGGAATTAGACCATTAGTTGGGTTTAAAGTTAAAATCAAATAGGAGAGAACTGAATTTTATGATCACATCCGATGGATAAAATGGCCTCTTTAAAGTAATGGTGATCTTTTCTAAACATCTTTTTGAAAATTAAAAAACCACAACCTGATTGTTCAAACCATTTTTTATAATTTAAAACTTGTGAAAATTAAATATTTTCTGTAAAAAAGGTTTTTATGAAAAGGTTTCCAATTTGTTACAATTAGAAAGCCAATGAAACTATAAAGCTTGAATTTGTTCCTTTTAATTATTTTTATTCCGATATTTTAAATTTTGAGAAATGGATACAAAATGACTGACAGTAATTTCTCATGGAAATTTAAAAAAATGAAACCAAGTTTAATGAATAAATATTTTTTTTCAGAGTTGAAAATGTGGCTTTAGATATACTTTGTACATTTGCTTTAAAATCTTGAAAGCTTGATTTTGGTGGAAGATGACGTTTTCTATGTCTGAGCTGGATCAGTCTCATAGGATCGAAATGGAACAGGAGGTAATTCTGCCTTTAAAGGGACTGTATGTGTAATTTCAAGTGACCTTCCATGCAAAGATAGCAATGTCCGATTTGTAAAAACTGTTGACTGTTTATCGAGGACAGAGAACTCCCGGTTTATATCTCCCTAATAACGTTAGAATTCCTGTAAATTTGGAGCGTACGCTAGTATACAGCGTCAACCCAACTTAGTAGTCAGCCTGCGATACTTGTGTCCATTGGAAATACAGATTATTTCACGTTCAAAGCGGTTAGAAAAAATTGAAATATTTATTATCCACGACTTCTAAAAAGTAAATATCAATATTTCTCCAATATAAAACAGCTTGCTAACAAAGTGTTTAACAATTAATAGCATTTTCGTAGTTTAACAAGAATTAGTCCGACATCTAGAGTGTACTATTGTGAATCAAACACTCCACTCTTCAAATAGAGTGTCACTTCCGATCCGGCCTTTAACTACAGTGAAACCCTTAATAACGAATACATCGAAAGAATTCATCAAATGTCGTATTCTTCACTTTCTGATAGTGGAATGTTGCAAATATTTAGTTTTTTGATTAAATGATCATATGGAACTCTTTAAAATTGTTCCCGCATATTCATGGCTATTTATTTATTTTGGCAAATACTGAAATTTACGTAATATAGTATAAAACTCATTGAAAAATTGTCAAGACAACATTTGATAAATTCTTCCGATGTATTCGTTATTAAGGGTTTCACTGTATGTATATGACCTGCTGGCGGAAATAGGATTAAATGTATAAGAATCTAGGGTAAAAAAAAAATTTCATAGGGCGAAACAGAAAATCATTTTTAATTTTTTTCTATTTAGCTCTTTTTCATCTTTATAGGTAGATATTAAAGGTGGAAAAATAATTAATATTGATAAAAGAAAAACAATCACAACTTCAAAATAATTCAGATTCAACGTTTAGTATTTTTGACATTTGTTATTTCTCTTTGCAGTTTTAATGCTCAAATTTATGACGTTTTGTGGACTACATTGTACTGTTTCTATCTACTTTTAATCTAGAATTCATCTGAATTATATTTCGATAGAAAAAAATGTAAAAAAGTACCAAATCTGTTTTTAACTCTTGAAATGTATTAAAATATTAGAAACAATACAAGTTAAATCCGAAGGTTTAAAAGAATTTGTTTATAGAAGAGTTAAAAATGATCTTTTGAGGATAAATAATGAAACATTTTGCTAGGAAGACGACTTACCCTTGAAATCTACCAAAGAGTTGGAAGAAGCAAAAAAAGCAGAAAAGGAGAAACAAGCTCGAAATGTGAGTAAATAAACACCAATCTAATGAAATTATGTTTTAAAAATGAATTTAGTCTTTGCCGTAAACTCAACTTTTTAAATTCTTAGATCTACCTGTATAGTGTACACCTTATAAATTTCAAACTTAGATTTTATGATCTAACAGAATTCAAAGTTAAAAATATCTAGGGTCTACGATATTAAGTTTAGCAGATATAGGGATTAGAAAATCAGACTTTGAAGCACAGTTTCTCACTTTCTTCAATAATGCACAAGCAAAATGCTTGGAAACTTCTTACAGAATATTATTACAAAATTAGCTTAATACTCTAATGAGGGGAGGAAGGCCAACCACATCAATCTCTAGTCCGAACCGCATTCTCCTCATTTTCTCGTCCTCGGAATCCTCATCCTTCGATTATTTTGTGTTAAAAAGTTTCCAATTCTTGAAGATTAAACTATTTTTTTTAAATCTGGCAACGTTAGGGCATAAAATATGGATGGACTAAAGTATTGCAATGATTATATCATGTTGGAATCTTCAAACCCATGAGAATGATGTCAAACTTTATTTAGGTAAAACTTAAATCTCTTCTACCTCCGTAATGGCTAACCTTCGTGATATGAAAAAATAACAAAATATTCGGCATACCTCTGCCTATAATTTTCCCCATGGAATCACCAGGAAAAATTCTATGGTTTTCACTAAAGTTAACAAAAAAGATTGAAGTTCTATAAACTTGGAATTATTTGCGGCATTCTACACCAGGAATATTTAAAAATGCGCGTAAAAAAGGTGAACATTTTTAAAGACATTAGACAAATCTTTAATTCAATTGAAACTTTTTTTTCGATTTACAAAAATTTGATATTTTATTTATGTCCTAACGTGGCCCGATTCTTTAAAAATAGTTTTATCTGGAAGGATTAGACACTTAAAAAAAAATATTGAAAGGACGAGGATTTTGAGGTGGTTCGGACGAGAAAATGAGGAGAATGTGGTTCGGACTAGAGATTGGTGTGGTTGGCCTTCCTCCCCTTCTCTAATAATATGTATAAAAATGTAGGAAATGTACATCCATAACTTTATAAATAGCTTGATTAACACTTTTTCTATTGGTTCTTCAAGTTCTTAATTTGTCCCATTTCATTTTATATACATTCGTCGTCGTATATATCAATAAAACGAAGACGACTTTCTATTTAATATAAATAGCTTGATTAACACTTTTTCTATTGGTTCTTCAGGTTCTTAATTTGTCCCATTTCATTTTATATACATTCGTCGTCGTATATATCAATAAAACGAAGACGACTTTCTATTTAATTTTTTGATTTCACACATCTTTAAAACAGCAGAGACACATTTACATGTAAAAAAAGAGAAACTGCCAATCAACAGCATCTCTTTGTTAAATTGTAAACTTGTAATTTGAAAAATGCCTATTGGGAAGAAATATATGATATATAAAATCCGACTACATTATATTGATATAGTCGCCGACCACTTTAGAAAAAATTCCTTGAAATGCTGCAAAAACTTTTTCCAGAAATCGAAATTTTTGTTTGAAAAGTTAACCATTTAAAAGAAACTTTCAAAATTAATAATTTTTCAATTAATAATTATTAATTATCTTTCAAGGATGATATTGCCCTTGTTGTTTGTATGGTCTGTCTAATTCTTCTTACTGCATTAACTGTAGTGTTCAAAGTAAGTGGAAATTTAATTATTAAAAGTATTTAGAAATAGTAAAATAAAACTTAAATAGTAGATATTTAAAAATATTCTCTTCTTTTTAAAGTTCTAGCTTAGCTCCAGATTTTTGTAATCTATATATATACTTTGCTTGACTGAGTTACTGTTTTTTTGTGTCCAAAAAACGTCAAAACAGCTGAACCGATCGGGCCCAAACTTTGTGTGGGACTTCACATGACCCCAGGGTAGGTTAATGGAGATCAAAATTTCAAAAATTAGCCTCCACGAATTTTTTTATAAATTCCGCGAGCTTTTTTTTGTTTTTTTGTTTATAATGTATACAAAGCGAAAATGTTTTCAATTGAAATTGAAGATGGGCGCGAAGCGCCCTGAAAGCCTAGTAATAGTTGAATTTTCCGTTACCTCTTTGTTTCATTGCATACATTTTCTTCACGTATAAAGAGATATAAATTAAATGCTTATTTATGTGGTCGACAATTAGCTAATTTAATCTATTAAAATGTTTGTTCAGATAATGTTTGTTGATCCTGTTTCTGATCCAAACCTTGTAACATTTCGTCCTCTCAAACAGAACGTTGGCTCTAACGAAAAGGAATTGCCACAAAATTACAATAAAACAATAAATCAGAGATGGAATTTAAAGAATTTGAGCCGCGGTTTAAATCTGCCAAAACCCGGTTTGAATTAAGCGCCGGCTTAAATCTTGAAACATTTGATACAATTTTAAGTGGAACCAACCATATTCAAGCCGCGGCTTAAATTTAAACCGCCGCTCAAATTCTTTAAATTCGGCCACTGAGTCACTAAAAAAAGACACTAGATCTTAATATTAGGATTAAAATTTAATTATAAGTGCCAGTTTAAAATCATATTTAAAGTGGTTTTTAAATATTAAGTGACGATTTTGTGAACTGTGCCACTGCCATCCACGATTCTAGAAACCCCCAAATTTAAATATCTATCTTGTGAAACAATTTTAGAAATCCAAGTGTTAAACCTCGGGTTCTTTAGGTTATTTAATTCAAGATTATAACTCATAGAAGATTTTTATTACGTGAAAGATCGTTTATTGTTCTTTTTCGTGGCAGCGGTTCAGATTACGTATGATTTCGTGTGAATATGATTTTCATGGATTTTGAGGATTTTTGATAATAAAAGTAAAATTCTTAGAGATTTTTAGACTTTCAAAAGATATTGATATTTTTTGATTTGTGGATTCAGTATACCGGAAATGGATATCTCCCCTGCAACGGATATATACCCTGCCAACCGGAATATCTTTCACCGCATGAATTAGAAGAACGCATTAAGGAATCCATGATTGGATATTGTTTAAATATTTTGATGATTTTAAGAGACATTTCCTTTCATTTCATGTAAGGAAATTTTCTTTCATTTATGGGTTTCTTGCAGCTGAATAATTTTGTCCTTTAAAATCATTAAGTATTTGAAACTTCAAGACTTTTTAACAGGTAAAATTCCAAAGATAGTTTTAACCGCATACTTTCTGTCCCTACATTTAAAAATATAACTTGGCAGCCTAAAATTACAAAATAAACAGTTATTGCAAAATGCAATATCCCGTGCTTTAAAAATAAACTGTAAAGATGACTTTTAAATTATAAAAAAATGAATTTCTATAACTTACACATTCCGTAATTGAAAGTTTTCAACGTACCATTTAAATCTCGTTATTATCAATTTTTTAATGCAAAATTACACTTCTCTTTTCTTATTAAACGTATACCAATCATGCCAGGACGCAATGCCATGCCATGATTACAATGAGAAGGGTGATGGTCCATCAGGTTGCTGGTAGAACAAAATGGTGAAATAAAATTTTAATAATTCAATATGGTAAAATTATATCAAGGGAACCCTATGTAATAAGTTTATTTGTTCCTGTTCATAATCAATTGGTTTTTACTTTAAAAAGTATTTTCTCCGTGTCGAAAACTATTTTATTTTACAAACACCCCGATGTTCCCATTGGTTGTGCACTGTGCAATGTAAAGTTTCATATATATATAGAGATTCGACCAATTGCCCCGTGTTTTTGCTTCTAATCATAGAACAATTTTATACACAGAGAAAAAACTTTTCGGTCTTTCAATAGGTAAAAAACAATGACAGTTTATTATTAAAAATGTAGGTTGTAAACAAAATTATTCCTGTTGCAGCTTTAATTCTTAGATAACAACACTCCTAGCTCAGAACTAAAGGTGAATAAAAAGAAAATATTTCAGAATTTCCACATTCAATGTTACATTTTATTATGGAAAATAAAAATGTCTGTGGTTTATTCTTTCTCTTAAAAACTCTTTAATTTTAGCCTTTAGGTAATAAGTCTTAAATCTAGAACAAAAGACATTTTGTTTTTGTAAAAAATCTGTTAGTTTTATATAAATATCCTTTTTATTACAATTTTAATATATATATAATGCTAATATAAAAATATTATTTGGCTAAACAATTTAAATCATGTTTTCTCCACACTTTTATCTAACAATAATAAAAAGGGTATTTGTCTGATTCAAAAGATATTTAAAATGTAAGTAAATATAACAACTTCAATTGGATAATTCCATTCAATATGTTCTCTTTGAAGACTTAAAGAATATGCTTTTTTGATATTTACAAATTTCCTGAAGTTTAAACATGTAGGATCAAAATAGAAATATAATTTCAGGCTGTTTGTCAATATTTATTTTAGTAGGATTTTCAAACGCAATAAAAAAGTTATGCGAATTGAAGGTCAAAGTTTCTTTTTTGCTCAATTTTGCGATGAGAGCAAAAGATCATAAAACTGCGGAAAAGTTATAGTTTGCGAGCATGGTAATTTCTCTTATATCTTGTCATGCCCAAGGTTATAATGCAAGAAAAGTTAATTTCAGTTGCGTATACTATGCGTACTTATTGAAACCAGTTCTCTCTGGGCGGAATTTGTAAACATGAATAGATGCATCAGTGTTCGTTTAGTATCCGAGAAGGTTAAAATCATTAAATTTTGATAATTTAGATAATTCACATAATATTTTCCTATGACCAGAATATTTCATTGATTTGTTATGTGAAAGATGGATCACATGTAAGGCTTCGACATCCGTCTTGTGTTTACATCAGCGCCCAGAGACAGACACTGCAGTACAAAATATGCGTGGTGAAATAACTTTCCTTGCATTATAACCTTGGTCATGCCTGTCTTTCTGACTTTGGCAAACGGTTCTGAATATTCCTTTTCGATAAAAAATTTGCGCAAACATAATTTGCGACTGGAAACCCTACTGTTCAGGTAAAAAGATTTCTGGACAATAAGTACTCTGTGATCATGTCCATTTTTGCTCAAATATTTTCAGACTTATTTTGGCTGAAAATGCATGTATTTATTAATATAAATTCTAACGTAAACATTACTCTGTTAATGCATGTTCCCTGTAATTCTTTTATCGAATGTTGAGACCAAAATGTAAACAACCAACCACACATGTTGAATAAAACCTTGTAATCTTCTTTTTTTTATTTTCATCTTGTAACAGTGCTACCCAGTAACTAAGAAATTGAGAAGGGAAATAGAACGAATCCAAATTAAACTCTTTAATTTTATAAATACTTAACTGATTCTATAGAAATTGTAATAGTTTTCAGAATTAAATTCTCTACACACACTCATCATAATGATATAAATAAATGAAAATAGTGGATTTTTATGATTTGTTTGTAATATATTTCCTGGCCAGTGCAACTATGTATCTATCCCTTTTTAAACAATTTATTTAAATAAAATTTAATTCAGATTCGTTCTACATTTCTTTAATTTTTTGTAACACTACCTTCCAGCTAAATTAATTCTATCTAATTTTTGAAATGAAATTTGCAAATATTAAAGAATAAGTTTCGATATTTATGAATACCCCACAAAACGTCTTTTGGCGGAGGGTAAATATATTTATCTGTTTATATCTTGTATCTATAGATTACAGAATTAAGATATGAAATACCTGTAATTTTAAGACATTAGAAAAAGTCCACGCACACATAATATTTTTATCTATTAATATATTTATTTTTTGCACGCCTTAGTCTAAAATCCCAGAAATACCATTGTATTTAGATAATATCATTAAAAAAAATCAATAAATTTACTCAGCTTGGATTTCTTCATTAATTCTGACAGATATTGTCGAAAAAGTGTCTTTCTAGCTTAAGACTGCCATAAACTATACACAACGAAAATACTAACACTTTTTAAAATAGATACATATGTATAATATATACATATATCTATTTTTCTGTTAATTCGACATCAGAATGTTTCGGTTTTCCTAACAAAGACAATCCAGAAAAATGACGATTACTCGCCTCATACACTAATATTCCAATCCTTATGAGTTATATCTTTGCAACCTGATGTGAACCTTTTAAATCTCAAACCATCTATTATTCAATACGTTAAAAATATGAAAGGTTTAGAGATACAAGAAAGGGTTCCAAAACATAAGGATTAAAACCCTAGAGTCGGTGGCAAGTGAACAATTTCTTTTTCTTTCTCGCTTTTGTTACTTAAAAGAGGGTTTAACATAGTTAATGACATGAAGAATAAAGATTTTTCCCTTTTCTAGAATAAGCCTTAATCTTGTCTGAGGTCAAAACTTGTATTGATAATAGGGCGTTATCTACTAGGCTTGGTCTAAGTAATTACTAGGTTCAAAGAATGTTATTTACCCACATTTAAGCATGGATTCCGACCACTAAATGTCCGAGAATTTTCAATCATTTAAACGAATACAAATAACTAATCCACAACAAATCAAAAGTTTTGAACTCTGATCTTTTATTTTTATTTAGTTATATGATTAATAGATTAATCCATATTTCCACTATTTTCGTTAAAACCTCGAGTAGATGGATCAGAAAATCGAAAACTTTTCTTGTAATGCCTTCGATTTATTTTTCTTCAAGAACCATTATCTATGGTGGCAGGAAAGTATCAGATCCATACTGTACAGTTTTTTAAAAGATTTAAAAGTTTTATACAGGGGCTGAAGCACAAATTGCGACAAAATGATCACTTTTAAATACTAAAAACTTCGGATCCTTTCATTTAGAATTCATGGAGTTCTTGAACCGAACTCAGATAGTTTGGTTGTAAATATTTATCTAAAAGGATTGTTCCAAAAATTGTTTGTAAACGGTGTTTTTTGTTTGTTCAGTTGGCACGCCAAAAAAGATAATCTCCGTTTGCAATTTTCCTGAATATTCATTAGAAAACCCGATCGAGTTGTTCATAGAAGGTCATTGAGAAGACATGATTTACTGCAAACTGTAAACTAGACAGAAGAAGTTCAGATTTGTGGAACATTACTGGTAGCACTTTGTGACCTTGTAACTCCTCTAGTTTTAAGTATACATAAAAAGAGTTATGGTTTAAAACATATAAGAATTGATTGATATGAATTCTTGTTATTTTCACCGCCGGGGGTTTCTTAAATCAAAAGTTTAAACCCAAAGCAACAGCTGCCCTGGACTCCCTTGACGCCACTATTTCACGAAAGGCTGAAAGATTAGGAGCCAACAGATGTTTTGTTACACATGATAGACAATTGTGACAAACTTAACTGTAATCTAAAATTGAAAACAAAATGTCGCAAGCAGATAATCTCTGTTACATATCTATTGTCACAAAATTTACTCGCCACTTTGCATTTCGAGTATTTTCAGCTTTATTTGGTTTGGCATTCTAGTTCTGTCAATTCAGACAATAAGCAAGGACATGTTAGCAGAAACCTGGAAATCAAAATGGAAATAGCAATCAATCAATCACAATTTTCAAAATTTTATCAAACCTAAGATACTTATAGTGATAACCAGAAAACTCTGGAATAGGAAGACGACTTTTAGAATCAAGTTATTACTTTAAAAAGTCTGATGAGCATGAGACACAGCAAATATGAAGTGTAAACATTACACTAAATTAGTGATTTTAAAGTGTCTAGTAAAACTGTTTGCTTTGTAACAACATCAAATACTCTAAAGTATTGCTATAATGTCGTCTTCTTATTCCAATGTTTTCTGGTTATCACTGTATGATATTAGAAGATATTGAAAAGACACAGAACCATCAAAAGATAGATTTCCTACCTTTGGAAAAATGTATATTAAAATAATAGGATCCTTATAGTATTGACATTTTACAAGCCTACAAATGGACTCAGTAAATTACGTAGATAATGACTTCCATTTTGAAAAGCCGATTCCAAACGGGTTGGTAGAGTGTAGACCAGAATTTCCTGTTTTTTCAGACACCCTGTATAGTATATTTATTTCCAAAATTATCTTCTCTTGGCAGAACAATAATTTGGTAAATTAGATGACAATAATTATTTTGGTGTGGAAATAAAGGCTAAAGTGTGAAAAGAAAAGAAAATTACCTGTTCTGGGTTTTTCTTGGCAGAGAAATAAGTTTTTGAAACACTGTTCAATTCCTACTGGACTCCTTCGGGCCAAAAGTACCACACTTGGGGGTAAAAAAAGGAATACATTGTGTAATTTTTAGTTTGATAAGTTGGCCTATTTCTGATATTTAGTTGTGTAAATATTACAATCGTTGATTAATATAATGTATGATCACAATTTTCACTGTAACTTTAAATCAGATTAGCTCTATCAGGGAAGGGACATAAATTAATTATTCTTATTAATCTATGGAAAGGGAGTAAAAAATAGTTGATAAAGGATTTTTAAAATACTATTATACTAAAAAATGGTGGCTGATCTTTCTTGAAGATAATTATTTCCAATAAATATAGGTTTTTTACCAAAAAATATGTTTTTGTACAGCTCCTCAAAATGCTCGTTTTGTTTACAATCCAAGTATATAGCTGAAAGAAAGTCGCTTTTAAGTTAAAAAACAAAGCGGTTACAAATAAGAAAATTCTTAAATGACATTTAAAAAAGACTCCAAAAAAACTTTCATTTCACTTTTTTTTGCTTTTTTAATACATTAAATCATCTGTGAGACTTTTACGCTTTCAAAAAATTAAACTATTTAATTTTAAAATATTATAAAATTTAGTATTTAAAAAATTTAACTATTGATCGACAAATTTTGTGAAATTAGTCAACACTGTAACATTATAACTGTAGCTGTATAGCTAGTGTAGTTTTGGTTTATTTTTGAGGGGTTTTGGACATTTAAAATGTTCCCGAGAGAAAATATATGCAAAAGCAAACCAAAAATAAACCGAAAACGAACGTTTTGTTGTTCTTCTTTCATATTTTAGAATAAATAACTATTTATAGCCCTATTAGTTGAAGGGAGGCGAGGTACAAAGTATTTGAGCCAAAAACTTTTTTGATGAGATTTTTAAGCATAGCGTAGAATCCTCGAGAAAAAGAAATGTTTTTGGCGAAAAGACTTTATGAGCCCCCTTCAACCAGTAGGGTTTTAGATAATTTTATGCCCTGGAAAGAAAGAAGTATGAATTCAAATTTTAACATTATCAAAATAAATAAATACACAAAATTGGCACGTCAATTATATAACATCTTATATAAAGTTTAAACTTTTAAAAAGTACATATTAAAGAAAATCCCAAATATTAATGCTGGAAGATGATCATTCAAAAGAATGCGGGAACTTAGCAAAAAATGCGCAAATACTGAAAGGTGTACTCAGCTGGGCCAGGTGATATTTTACTTTTAAACCCATAAGAAAATAGTAAATATTTTACCCCAGCTCAGCTGGGAATATATCGGTTTCAGGATATGTTCACCATAGATTAAAAAGAGGCCACCCAGGGCATAAAAATATTTCAAAGTTTAAAAATAGCCAATTTTAACAGAATATAGTTTTGAAATCTTGGAAGTTTTATTAAATTTGAAAAACGAACAAGAACCATAAGGAGTAAATGTAGCCACATACATCAATACTGCAATAAAATGGTCTTTGATTTTACCTAACTTTTTGTACAAACATGTATACAGCTTAGAACTTTAACCCACTTCCCCTTCGCTTTAGTGTAAAATAAGTTATCATCGATTTTTGCGTGATAGATTGAAACGTTTGGATCATTGTGTAGCAGGTGAGCAAGATATACTTACAATACATTTTTCAGAGGATAAACAGAATAAACATAAAATGAACTAAATAGTGACACAGCAAATTCTAAGAGGTGCTGTTGTACATAACACAAGAATTAAATACTGAAACAGATACATAAAAGAACTAAGCGAATATGACTTTCTCAATGTCGGAGCTAGAGAAGTCTCACAAGTTGCAGATGGAAGAGGAGGTAGGAAAACAAGCTGTATGGGATCATCTGTATTCAACACTGTAAACTTCACCAGTTTTTTTTAAATGTGGAACTAACATCTACTTTTTTACTCTACAGAGGTTTGGTCCATCACCATCACTGAATTTTAAATCAGTTTTTTTACTTTTTCATTTAAACTTTATTTGCCGACAAAAATATGTTAATTAGTAAATTTCGTCAATTAACTAAAACTAATTATTTTCATTTGTGGTTTCTCTTCAAAAGTGACTTGAACATTTCCTGATTGCTCGTTGTGTATCTTGCATACATCTCCTTTTAATGTTTGGGTCATTTAAAAACACTTCCTTAACATATAAATAATGAATAAGTTTTTCCCTCTGGCCTCAAAAACGTATCGTAAATGTATAAAAAGAAATATATCATAAACGCATAAACAAATATATATGTAACATGAATCGATGATAAATGAATGAATGCTTTTAAAGGAGGATGAGGATGCCCCTGCATCCAAGTCTGCAAAGGAGTTGGAAGAAGCGAAGAAGGAGGCGAAGGAGAAACAGGCCAGAAATGTAAGAACACTAGCTGAATTGGTTAAACATTTATTTTACTGATTTTATTAAGGATGACATAGCTCTGGTAGTGTGTATGGTTTGTTTACTCATCCTTACAATATTAACTATAGTTGTCAAGGTAAAAACAATCAAACAATTCCACGATTTTAAAAAATTCAAAAACTTACATGCAACAATGATTAAAAAACCTCATGAAAGCAGAAATTGTATCTCAGATATGTTTTATTGACCCAGCCTATGATCCAAACGTATCTACTTTTAAACCTCTTCTACAGCATGTTGGATCAAACGAGAGGGTAAGCACAAATTTTTTATTAATATATGTACGAATTGTACGTACAGTCCATGTACAGTCCCGTAACGGAAAGTTTTGAAGGGGAGGGGGCATGTAAACATTCAATACATCAAAAAACACTTATTGTTCTCAATTTAATTAAAATTCAATGAACAAACTTGTCACATTCTTTTAACTGCGCAGAAGTAGATGAACATTCCTTTTTTGGGACACTCCTTGCGTAATTTATGTGTAATAAAAGATTTATGTCGCATCTTTTCTGGGAAACCTTTAGAAATTTGTAATTCTAAGTTTGTTGTACTAAATGTACATGTATGTTAGTATGCTGGTAATGGATATCTACCATGTAATGGATATGTTCCTTGTCAACCAGAACATTTATCTCCAACTAAACTAGAAGAGAGACTTCAGGAAATTCATAGTTTATGACGTATTTAGGATTTATCAATAACAAGATAATATACACCTTTTTTATTCCTTTCCTAATCAACCTTAAATAAACTAATTAAGAATAAATCTACCTACTAGATGATGCAAAGAGAAAGTGTTTAATCAAATAAAATTTTACATTTATCTACAAATGATATCTACATGTAAAGATGGATATTTATAATAACAACAGTTGATTACAGTTAATGGTTTTCATTCTTGACAGCTTTAGGAAAAGTTCCTCAAGGCTTTAACGGATCTATATTAATCTAAATAAAAATAGAAACACTTCAAATCATGTTGAAGTGTTAGCTGACGAACTATTTATGTATTACTTGGCTTACATATAATTATGAATTCTACAGGATGCAATGCCCTGCCATGATTACCAGAATAAGGGTGATGGTCCTGAAGGATGCTGGTAGCCCTGTTGTCTGGGCCTATCTAATCTACCTAATCCATTCTGATATTTTTAAATCCTAACCTCGAAATATTTGCTCAAATTCAGTAAAGCTGGAACTTCTGTTAAATATACTCACTCAAGTATAAGAGAATTTATTGCAGGGGCGAGAAACCTAAATTTTATAGTTCAGTGTAAAATAGATAAAAGATCTAAATGCGAAAAAAGATTTCCAACTTGAAATATAATAAAACAAATACATAAACTTAAGTGATCAATGAATACTTCTAAACTAAATAATTTACAATTCAAATACATTATTATAATTTCCAACGACATGTCCGTTTAACAACGGTACTCTTACAATCATTTTATCCATAATTTGTTTATAAAAACTGATTATTTTGATTTGTGGGTTTTACAAAAGTGACTTGCTCACTTCTTGCTTCACAAACAACGGAGAAATCGTCAGAATTAAACACATTAAGCTAAAAAAGCGAAGTCATTATTATACAGGGTGACGTGCGTGCGGTATTCAGAGACCAAACTAAAAACTTTCTGAAACTGAAAAAAGCCGCAACCGAAATTTCTTTCAAAGTTGTTTTTATTTGTTTATAAAGAACATATCTATACACTGAAATCTATAAAACCCTGACAAAGGTGGGATAAAGGTATTTGTGTTGTAAGACCTTTTATTAACTCCCTCTTGACCAATGGGCATGGAAAAATAGTCGTAAAGAATTCAGATCAATGGAGCTGGGGTCCAGGAGTCCTAGACCCATGGCTGCACCAGGCGAGGTCCGAAAAAAATGCACTTTCCTGGTGTAAGGAGTATCATGGTCACGATTGAGGGACTTTGGTCTCCAGAACGACTGATATGAATTTACTGGATTTTTTTTTTGTGGCGTAAACTCATTTTACAACCAGGGCCAGGAGGTCGTCCAGACACGAGGCGATTTTACTGGTTAAATATATTTTATATAACAAAGAAACAACCTTAAAAATGAATTTTGTTTAAAACTTTATTTCATCAGGTTTACAGAGAAATTTGATTTAGTCTACGAATATTATCGATCAGATCTTCCCTTTCTCCGGATTGCACAGAAAAAAATGTTTGATATCTTTGTAAACGGCTGAGATAAAGAAATTTTAGTAAATTAGTTTAGCAACACTTAAAACCTTCCTTTATGAGTAACATTACTTTTAGGCCCATTAAATTCATCTTCTTTGGTTAAAATGATTCACTGAAAGGATAATACCTCCGTGGTCTTTAAAGATATTGGAGTTTTTTTGTACTGCACGAGACATCAAAGGGCATCTTTTCATGATTAAAAATTATTTTATAGGCGACATTTTTTGGCCAAGCAAGAAGAGTTAGGAGAAAAATGCACAGAAAACGGTTTTATTTATTGCTTTTTTTGGACAATACCTAACACATTTGCCTCTAAACTTGTCAATAAAACATTTGAAGGCTATTTTTAAATTTTTTTAGACAGCAATAGAATAGAAAATATTGTCAATTCTAAGTTAAATCATCTCCAAAATTGTATCACATTTCAAAATTCCTAAAAAATGTACAGAAATTTACCAGATTTGGCCGAGAATGGTTGAAAAGGGCAAAAATGTCGAGAAAAACAATAAAATGGCTGCAGGGCCATTTAGGAAAATTATTCTTAAATTCTCAAGTTTCGTATTTGAGCTAGATTTACCCCAATGCTTCATAAAAAATGTGTCGCACATCTGGAAATTTATTCAGCGGCACCCTCGAGAACTTACCCCTCTCCCCTCTTTGACCCCAGAAGGAAGGGGGGCACACTATCTGAGACAAAATAGAAGAAAATGAAAAAAATTGTGAAATGATGGGGTTAAATCTTTTTTTTGTATTTTGAGAAGCTTATCTTTTTCCCTTCTTTTATTAGATTAATGTTTCGAATTAACCATCGTACAGTAAAGAGTAACCGAGACAAAATGAAATTCTATATAAAATATTGCCAGGTTTAGGAGAAGTTGTTCGTACACATCCTCAAGCTGGCAGGAGAGTTTTTTTCGAATCTTAGTTTTGGGAAACTAAAGATTTTCGTGGTCGATCTTTACAGGCATTTATATCCTTTACTTTCCCTGTATTAATAATAAAAATTAGCTCTTCGTGATGCAAAAATTCTCAGTAATACATTTATTTATAGTTTAACTCAAATCTCTGCATCTTGTACCTCAACTTTTTTTCTTCTTTTTTTGATGCAAGTAGCTTATTAGCCCTTGGGCCTTCGGGAAAAGAAAAAAATAAACCATATCAGGCAAAATATCTTTCTTATTAAACTATAATGTGTAATAAGTTAAAAATCTAGTTTTAGCTTTTCGTGATTTTTTCAGTACCTATATCTGGGATTTCTAACATTTGTCCCCCCTAACTTTAAGAATTTCTAGCTACGGGCCTGGCAAATACATTACCCTTCTTTAAAAATGAAGTAGAACTTATATTTTAAGAATTAATAGAAAATTTTCATAAATGACATCACGCAACACAACTAGGACATCTTGTAGCAGAGGTAAAAGCGTCAGTATTTCAATAACTAAAAAATTACAAGACAAAGGAAGACTGTTAAAAATCTCATTTTTATTATTTTTTTAAATTACACCGATCCATATTAACACTAATAGATGAGTTCTGATAACATTGTGCATGTAAGAACATTGATTAGATAATGGAATAGCAAATTAAATACCAAATTAAATAGCAAATTAAATAGCAAATTTATTCTAATTTTTCAAATATTTCAAAATAAAGCTTAAATGTGACAAATGTTTAAGATTTTTTGAATCTACAAAAATTAAAATTGAGATTATTTTGCGTCTATAGTAGTCTATAGTTGCGAATATATTTTGCGTCTATAGTAGTCTATAGTTGCGAATAGTTTTTTTTTTGCTGAAATTAAGGAACTAAAATATTTCCTAAAGATAATAAAAATGAAATAAGCAAGTATTATACATATTATTACATACATATATCAATACAACAATTCCTGATCATGGCATATCAGCACATTTTTTACTGCCAGGAAGATTCTCGAGTATTCTCATGGCTGAAAATTAAAGAAAGTTAAGATAAATTTTAAACAAATTTTTCTTTGAACAAACTTTTATGAATCGAGAACAAGCAAATTGGAAGAGAAAGACGACGTTTAGACTCAAGTTGGTCTCGGTTAAAAAAAGGCTCATTAGAATTTCATCAAAATAAAACAAATGCAGTTTAAACATAAAAAATAAGGAGGGGGGGGGGGGGGGGGGTTGATTGTTTAAGTTGATGAGTAAATATAACGGAAATTTCCAATTTTTACCTTATTGTAATATCCACGGAGAAGTGGTTTGATCTTCTCACTCCGCTGCTGTTAAACATTAAACTTTGCCAATTACCGTTGAGAGGTCGCCTAAACAAAGCAAATATAAAAATGTGTCTCAGCCATTATATACATCATTCTTATCTGGTTTGGGATTATTTAGATCATTTTCTAGAAAGATTGGGACCACAAAATGTCAATTTTCGGCTAGAAAAACGACGGTATCTCTCCTAGCTAAGTTACCTGTCCAGTGGGAATCCCATAGGCCTACTATCTGGAACATCCCCCTCATTTCTTCTAACTCCACACCAAGACCAAGAACTATACCGTAAACTCTCCCAATTTGCAGTCATTGCTCTAAAAGTGCGACAAATTAATGTTTATATTTAGCTATGAACCAGAAAAGTTTCTTTGTTGTTCCTAGGATTATCTCATAATAACTAACGAAATTTAATACTTAAAGTACATTAAAGGATAGTTTATGGCCCTTTAGTTTATTTGCAACAGATTAGTGAGATTAGCACGATCGCACCTATTTTAATATTGATTTTAAAAAATATAAATGATACTTTAATTTCTCAATGTGTAATGATTTTAAAGGTTTGGAAGAAGAGTATGTTTTTATTTTTATTTTTAATTTTGTTTAGATTTGACCTTTTCAAAAACTACAAAAAGTGCGTATATACTAGTAAATTTACATTGATATGAACTTTTGAGTCGCTTAAACGGTTCCAAAGAAGAGATATGTTTGAAAATAAAATCAAGATTATCAAAAACTAATTTTCATACTAGATTATTAGTTAAAAGTCGGCATTTTTATCTCAATATTTAGTATTTCCTGTTTTAAATAGATATGTTATAGTTTTGTTCAACTCGGCTTGGATTGAAAAAGATAATTGAGTCTTTGCCACAAACTCTGTTTTATCCCTATATTTTTGCAACATGATATTAAACCTTTAATATGTCAACCTTTGATCTAACAGAACACTGGGTTTCTAAGATATAGGGATTAGAAAATCAGAGTTTGTGGCATTTCTAACACTTAGTGTACTTGGCCTACTATTGAATTGTATGTACATACCAGTGTACTTGCGCAACTATTGAATTGTATGTACATACCTATCTCCGGGCAATATCTGACTAATCATCATGTACATCCTGAACCCCATCCCCCCTTCTCTTCCTCGCGGTAGAACCATTGTCTAACAAAGCAGAAGTTGTGACTAAATCAAGAACTGGTAACATAACTAGGCACCTTTTCCGGCGTACTGCATATTTCATTTAATAAATACGGGCTACAGAGAGGAAAGAAAACGTATATTTGTGACAAATCTCAAGCTTTGTTTTCCATTGTAGGGTTCAATTTCATATAAATAATTCATGCATGACATTTTTTAAATAATCCAAACGTAACTGTCTGTACGAACAACAAAATCCACTGTACTTTTTTAAAAATAAACAGTAATTTACAGATGAATTTTACACTAAAAGAATTCTTCATTTGAAGGCGACATTCCAATTTGACGCTGGAGGAATATACGACTTCAGAACATGAAAGATTTAAAGAAAGATATCTGTTCCCAAAGTATAAACAAAAATAATAACTAAACCTTAACAATCTCTTTTTACAAAAAATCGATAAAACTACCTCAGGCCATCCGCATCCTGCCCAGTTAAACTCGTCTTCAGTAACACTACCCTAAACAAATCTACATTTTTCAATGATCCCCAGGCCAGGACAAGATATTTATATAAGAATATACTCAAGAACCACCTTCTTTAAAAAATGCTTTTAGTTTGGAGTGTTGGGGAAAAATTACATCCTTACAACTTTTTAAATATTTTACAAAAAAAGCTTTTTTATTTAAAGCTAAACATTGACGATAAAAATAAACATTTGAAGTTGAGAAAGGAGGATAATCTCATGTTTAATTTCAAACAGGTGAAAACTATCTCTTTATAAAAAGAACGAAGAATGGAGTCAACTTATACCTGGAGTAATCTATCCTGAAGTTCTCCGAGGGGAAGCGGAGACTTGGTGATGAAAGGCGACCTATTGGAATCCCTCTTGAAGTAATTATCTCCAGATTTGAGCTGAACTAGGAACCTATCCATTTCTATAGAAACCTGAACCCAGATAACATGAACAGTAATCATCAATATAATAAACAAGACATTCATATATATGTTGCATCCGGCCAAACGGCTGGACCGATTGGGCTGAAATTTTTCGTAGACAATCATGAGTGGCAGGGGGGGTGTCAAAGGCTAAAAAAATTCTAATTTTTTTCACGGGCAACGCCGGGCTCTTCAGCTTGTCAAATAAATGAAAAATGATTATTTATATTTTCTTTATAGGGAGGAAAGGTAAATTTTACTTAAACAATTTTAGTTCACCAAGGGTTGCCAAAACCAATATTGTCTAGAAAACATCCAGAGGAAAGTTTTGAAGGAGAAACTGAAGTTTACTGTAGAATTCAAATACCTGAGTAATATCAGTATGTGTCGGTAACCTAAACAATACATATTACAATCAAAATTAATTTTAAATCTTAAAAGACGGGACGAAATAACATTGATAGCCACAACGCAAATTATTTAGAAATTTTGATTACTTATTCGTTTAAATAGTAATATATGAACTTATAAAGGTTATTAAATTTTAGAAAGTAGCTGGTGTGACAATGAAGTCTAGTGTTCATTTGCATGATGTCAAATAAAAATACGCAAAAAAAATATTTGTATATAGTGCAAGAACTCAAGTCTTTTGTTGAAAATATTTAAGTTAATTTGATTTATAATTTTAAATCAAAAATAGCTAGACAAAGAAAAAAAAATTAAATGTTCATGCGACATGTCTCGAAACAATATTCAACAAAATGCAAATTTTAATGGATCAACAACATGGAAAGTATTATCATGAAGCAAAATGAATACGTTCAAAATTGATTGTAGAATTTGATCCGGAATGATCCGGATCCTGGATCCACCCTGGAAAAAAGGATCTGGTTCCGATTCCAGGTCCCGATTATTTACCGACTTTTAATAAATAATCTTTTTGCTCATCTATTTTGACTGCTATTTAAAGCCACTTGGATCCGGATCCAGAATGCCAGAATGCCAGAATGCTAGAATGCCAGAATGCCAGAATGTTTTGGAGCCAACGGATCCAGATCCTAAGCACTGACCTCAGATTAAAAACATTTTAAAAATAAAATTTGTTCTGAAGAAAAACTTTTACCTAATTCCTGCGGGGATTAAAAATATCCGAACTATACCCTGAGATCTCTGCGCACTTCGAATGCTGAAAAGTAAACATAAATAAATAAATAAATAAATTTACATAATTCCCTGTAGCATATTTGAAAATAATTTTATTCAAGCAGAATAAATTAAAACTGTCTAAGAGTTTCAGGTCGTCACTGTAGTGAAAGGTTAAGTGCCCTCTACTTCTGAATATTCACCTTTAAAGATTTCAGGATATGTGTTGGGGGGGNCCCTTTCCCACTCATAGTAACTTTTTTACTGCTTTAAAGTATACATTAATTAAAATAACTTACTTGAAATGATATGTGAAGGGAATATGATTTAATCGATCATAAACAACGTTAACAGAACCAACAGAGTTTGCCCTGAAGAATGAAATTTATTCAAATAGTGTTTCTACTGTATTAAAACTGTATTAAATATATGAGAGAGGGAAACTTTTGGTTGGGATAGAGCGTTTAGATTCAGCGACTGAACTTAATATCCAGTGGAAACTTTTGTTTGGGATAGAGCGTTTAGATTCAGCGACTGAACTTAATATCCAATGGAAACTTTTGAATTTAAGGGTGTAATTTTAATTCCTGGAATTCCTGAGATTTACTGAAAAGATAAGTGATAAATAAGAAAAAGTTCCAAGATGTATCCAACGTCTAATTGCTTTAAGACGTTAAGACTAAAAATGTTTGTATATCTAGTTATCTAAATCACTAACTGAAGATCCAAGCTCTGAATTCTGATGTTTGAGGTTTCCATAAAGGTGTACAATGTGTTGGCACTGGTCCCCATCTCGGACTAAAAAAGTTTAAATTAAGTAAGAATTGCCTAAGGATCGTGTAGAAAGTCAAATACGTCAAGACGTTGGTTTGCACACTATAAAAACAAAGTCAACAGTCATATTCGGTGTAATATTAACAATTTAATTTCAATCTTAATTACGTAATCCTTGTAAAAAAGTAAAAGTTAACACGTAAATCAATCCATAGTTTTCTGGTTATTTCCGGAGGTTTTACGATTCCTGAACTAATTAACATATTTCTGTTTACCTGAACATGTGCACCAGTTATTTCAACTCCAGGGAAACCAAGTTCTTTAAAATATTAATTAAAATCATATTTGTGTAGGACGCACAAAGTGAGTTTTTCTCACAATTTTAAAATTAAATTAAATTCTAGAGTTTAAACATACCTCAAAAGTTCAATTTCTTGATTTAACTTAAAACACATGCAATTAATCAAAAACCAAGTCGCCCTCCCCCCCCCCCAAAAAAAGTGAACTGATCAACTACCTAGATCACCGTATGATGGTAGACGGTTCTTGTACTCTTGAATCAGATCGTCAATATACTAAAAAGGAGCATTGTAATTTCTGAAATCTTGACAAATCTACACAACTTTGAGTTCTTAGATCAAAACAAATATGTTTACATACTGCAATGGTAGTTTTCAACAGATAATTTTCCTTTCGAAATGATTTGGGTCTGTAAATTATTTTAATAGTTCACACACCAGCAAATTGTTAAAAATATGAACCAGTAACTATTTTTGGATGAGCTGAAAACTGTAGAACTGTGATCATTGAGGACGGAGTTGGGAATTTATGAATTGAACGTTAGTTCTGATTCAAGTTCAGCATTGCAATTATCTGAGGTAGTTTTACTATCCAACCCTTGTTTAATTGAACTTCATTTTAGAATAATGATCTAAAAACAAGATTAATAAAAACTCTAAAAAAAATCGTTTATTTCTACCTTATGCCATCTGTAGAAGAGAGGATCACGCATTGCAGCATTTGGGTTTCCCATTACACCCAATCTTCCATCCATACCATGCATCCTTCATATTTATAAATAGAAAGAAGTTGATTAAAGGGACTGTAAGCGTAATTTCAAGTGGCCTTCCACTAAGATGGTTATAACCGGTACCCCTAAAAGCTTTGACTCATCAAGTATGAATGATTTATCAATGTTCTTAATTTAAAAAAAGGTTTTTTTATTAATATTTCTCCACAGGGGCTACTTGCGTATTTTTACCAAAAAAATGCATAATAGAAATATAGAAAAACGATAGTATCTTCCACATCATTTATCAGATTTAGGTTTCAAGGGTACCTTTGTGAATCGGGGATTGTCATCTTTGGACAAAGGGGTATTTGAAAATACGCTTACAGCCCCTTTAAGAACATCAATCATTTATAGTTTTACTAGTATTTTTCTCATTTTTGAAAATTTTCTGAATTACATTGAAAACTGTGAAAATATTGGCATACTTCGTAATTTCTTTAGATTATGAAATTTCCTCCAAGGAATTTGTAATTTGTAATTTTATAACTGTAGAGCATGTTCTAAGCACGTTTCGGAATTAATCAGTTACAAATTAAAGAATCCTTACTAACAATTTAAAGTAAAAGACAAAAACAATTCTTCATTTTTTGGTTCTCTCTGTAGTATTTTACTTATAATTTATCAATGCATTTGGTCAATTTTTTCCCATATATTTGTGAAATATTATGCTTATTAAAATCAAAGAATAACATTTTTTTTTCGACAAGCCTTTTCTTAGAAGAAGCAACAGTCCCAATAAACAGGAGAATTGTGTGAAAAATTAAAATTCGAGATAATCATCATATAACTACGTCTGCTAGAACTATAACTATGTCTCTGCAAGATAATCAGTATAGACGGACAAGTAAAATTCGTTTCCAGAAGAAATTTTTTCAACCGTATTCAAACAAAACCTTGAACAAATTCTCAACTCCAGCCGACGAAAATACTACGGGTTACGGCTTCTTAGCATGGATATCAAAAATCAAAAATCATTAAACAAGATGTTCTCAAAATCGTCACTAAATTCCCATTTTTATTGGCCCACCCTGTAAGTCAATTTGACCTGGAAATTTGTTCATGCCCGTCGTTATGAAGGTTTCCATAAATAGGACTCTGCTCAAAAGCTTCCATAGCATTTCCTTAAAGTTGAAAAAATACAAAACCAACCAATTAATTATCTTAAAATCCTGAAAACCAGTCTTCGAACATCTGATTATACAGTTGCAGTCAGAACAGAGATTTGTCCTCTTTTCTTTCTTTTTATATCAATGGGAACCCAGATATGCCTGGAGTTCTCTAAAAAGTCGACTTACTAAAATTAGAATGTTAAATTAGACTAAGAACATTCCTGTGGGTTTACAAATTTCATCAAAACAAACCTACTATATGTATTTGTAATAAAAGATCATATCAAAACTAAATGATAAGAGCATGAAAATGCATCAATAAACATTATATCTCAGAGAGACAAGAGTTCACAAGATTCACAGCCGTGTAGACACGAATTAAAGATAGTATTGAATAAACAATATTAATCTTACCAATACCAAGTGATTTTGTCTAGTACCATATAATTAAAAAAAAAAATGGATAAAAAAATTATATAAGACATTTCTTAATTCAAAATAAAGGGGATAATCCTTTTTTGCTAACGACTGGCTGTAGTCCAAGCATAATTTTTACTTCAATTCCTAAACAAAATTACAGTCTCTCATGTAGATATAATAAAGTGAGGTTTTACTTACCTATAGCATCGATTCCCTGGTCCACTCCGTTATAGTATCCAAGTCTTAATAATAAAAATTAACTTTAAATAGCATTAAATTCAGATTGGTTCACAGTGAGGGTTAAAGATAAAAATAAAAAATGTGTAGAAGATTTTTTTCAACGATTGAAAAATATTGAATCGACATATGTACACAATAAAGCACTTACGTGACATATGTACACAATAAAGCACTTACGTGACTGGACATATGTACACAATAAAGCACTTACGTGACTGGGCCACGAGGGGAAAGTAACTGTCCTCTTCTAAATGCTTCTCTGATGGCATTTTCTGCTCTCATCATTCCACTAATACTAAAATAGTAACCCTGTATTTATAAAAAAAATTACTCTGCGTAACCTTGTATTAAGATTATTTACTCTGGGTAACCCTGTATTTATAAAAATATACTCTTGTGTAACCCTGTATTAAGATTATTTACGCTGGGTAACCCTGTATTAAGATTATTTACTCTGGGTAACCCTGTATTAAGATTATTTACTCTGGGTAACCCTGTATTAAGATAAATTACTCTGGGTAACCCTGTATTAAGATTATTTACTCTGGATAACCCTGTATTAAGATTAATTCCTCTGGGTAACCCTGCAGTATAGATTAATTACTCTGGGTAACCCTGCAGTTTAGTTAAAAATTACTCTGGGTAACCCTGCAGTTTAGTTAAAAATTACTCTGGGTAACCCTGAAGTAAAGATAAAATTACTCTGGTATTCTGGCTCCATGAGGACGAGGTGGATAAGAACGCCCTGATGCTTCGGTCAACTTGGAGTCATATCCTGGATACAGAGGACCTCTCCATTCAACACTAAGATATGAAACTTTAAATTAGCAAATAGCCCTTGCAACTAGAGGCTTCCAGAGGGCCCTGCGCCTTTCAAGAAAAAATTCAAGATTTTACTGCTATACTTAAATTTCTAATAGACACAAATCTTCAGCGGGGGATTTCGAGGCCCCTAAAAAAATAGACACGATAGGAGACTCAAACATTGAAATGATTATTGCAAAGCAAAAAAGAAATTGACGAGAGTGGATAACATTTAATGAAAAAGAGACAAATAGCATCAATAGACCTGAAAAAAAATAAAATTGAAGAATTTTTGAAGAACTAAAAAACAAACAATAGAATTCTATATTAAAAACTAAAGAAATGACCTTGTTAAACTCGTGGTGAGGGGTAGTCCTAAAGCTAATCTATCAGCATTGTATCTGGTAAGCATCTGTTTATGCATAAATACAAACATCTCTCCACGTCTAAAATATTGGGTCAGACTTTAAGAACATTTTGAAGTAAATAAGAGACCCAGCCTTGCTGCATTGTTTTTGTATTACCGTCTAACAAGTCTTGTTTACAATGTTTGTTTTTGTTAAATATCTCTATAGGTCCTTGGCTATCCTATAAAATGTCAGTGAAGACAAACTCAATAAGTAGCTAGTTTATGAGTTGTCGTCATAAAATCTTAAAATTATTGGAAGAATTGTACAATAACCTATCCACATTCATCCCGTTGGAAGGATATTTTACAATAACCTATCCACATTCATCCCGTTGGAAGGATATTTTACAATCTAACCTATCCGCATTAATCCCATTATAAGGATATTTTACACTAACCATTACAATAACCTATCCACATTCATCCCGTTGGAAGGATATTTTACAATAACCTATCCACATTCATCCCGTTGGAAGGATATTTTACAATTACCTATCCACATTAATCCCATTAGAAGGATATTTTACACTAACCTATCCGCATTAATCCCATTATAAGGATATTTTACACTAACCATTCAATATTCCTATCATTGAAAGGATCTTTTACACTAACCTATCCATACTCATCCCATTGGAAGGATATTTTACACTAACCTATCCTTTATCCCATTGGAAGAATATTTTACACTAACCTATCCATATTCATCCCATTGGAAGGATATTTTACACTAACCTATCCATATTTATCCCATTGGAAGGATATTTTACACTAACCTATCCATATTCATCCCATTGGAAGGATATTTTACACTAACCTATCCATATTCATCCCATTGGAAGGATGCCATTCTGGAACTCTATTATTGCTCATCTTTAAATGCCAATGAAGGTGGTGAGAGTTCACCATCGGATCCTCTCTAAAAAGACAAATCTTGATGATTTCTTAATAAATGTGCTATTGACATTTTCACTGTTCATGTATATTTGTGTATGCTGAAAAGCACACGTATGATCATGCCATGCAATTAAAGCAACTTTCAGTAGACCAAAAAGTACGATACAAAAATTGATTATCATTTTTCATTTTTTGATTTCACTTAAAAGAAGTTCAATAAAATAAGTTCAATAAAAAAATTAACCTGAAATACCAGAGCCGGCTCTCTGGGTCTGCAGGAGAAATAGTTCTAAATATTATAGGAACTTTAGATAAAGGTACACTCATTGATGGAGTGACATTTCCTATTCACAACGACACCCTTGAAAACACGAATAAACAAAATATCGATCATATCGTTTTTTTTTGCGAAAACTCAAAAGTATTCAAGCTAGGAAGCTCGAATTTTCTGGCACTATGGAGTCCTCAGGCATACTGCCTAAATGCCTTATTTTATCTATATCAGACTAAATCTATATTTGGAATTCTTCCGTCATTGGATTCAACAGTTTATAGCTCTTTGGAAAGCCTATAATAAAAGAAAGCAGATTGCACAATTTTTGCAAAGGTTTTTGCACATTCAGATTTAGATTAGGTTTCAATTTTATTTTTGCAGATTTAAATTTACTAGGTCAATGACTTTTTTAAATGTATAATTTGAAGCATATTGTGCTATTATTGGTTTTGGAGGTGTTTTGCTACATAACTAGATTTTGCAATAATGCAAATTTGTGATTTTTTATTGCAGATTATTGAAGTCTATTTTGGGTAAACCAGACTTCAGTCGGAATAGGGTTAAGCTAAAAAACGACCAGGTCTTCTCCAATATATTAATCTGATAAAGGTTCAAAGGACACAGGAAAGAATCGGGCATACCCCTCTTGAAATAGAGGGTTAATGGAAATTACAACGACAGTCTTAACATACTTTAGAAAACAGTGGTAAATGGGGTCGTTTGTCCCTGAAAAGAGGGAAGGGGGGCATAAGAATTAGAGAAAGTAAATTTTTCCTCGTATTTAGCTTATTGTGCTATCAGAAGTCCTAAAACAGTCAAATTTCACCCTTTCAAGGTTTAATTTTTTTTGTGTGTTTATGTCCAATCCACCACATAAGATAAACATTTACCAGAGTCGGTTGACGATGACAAAATTAAATATGCTCGTTAGAATTGTGATAAAAACATTAACCTGAATATTCCGTCTCCCCAGTTTAGTCTCCAGACCCCTGGTATACCCTGGTCAGGACTAGGTCCTGGAGGAAACATCCCTGGTTGCATCGGCACTCTTGGTAAACCCCAGACCTGCCTCTTAGACCTAAATAAAAACCACGTAAAAATAATAAAATATTTGAACAAATTATATTTTACCTGAAATGTTGTGAAGTAGAGTTGTAAGGATAAAGTGTGTTGCTATCAGCAGTATTTTCAATATCTCTATCTGGACCAAAATACTCTTTAGAGTACGTTGGTTTGCGTGAATATTCTTCTTGAAATCTAATCAAAATAAAACATGCTTCCATAAAAATTCAGTCTAAACTCTATCCCATTTTAAATAGTTAAAACCAATTAAGACCCAAACAATGGTGACTATGCCGCGTAGTTTTGATCTTGATTGTTTTCTAATTTTCTATATATTTTCAGTATACATTATAAGAGTAAACAAACCCATCCCTCTCAACAAACTGACAAGATAGAATTTTTCCCATATAAAAATTTGTGTCTTAGAAGTTAGTACATCTAGTTTACAGAGCTCATGAAAAATACTAAGAGGTAAAACGTTTGGCAGCATGTGTTCCTTTGGATTGGAAAGTAATCAAACGGATTAATTGAAAAGAGTGAAGGTAAAATGAATCCAACGTCATCCCTAACAAAAGAATCATTGAGGATTTTTTCATAAAAAAGATTATTTATGAAAAAAAATTTAAAAGAGAAGGTGTGTGACTGCCATTGAACCCCGTAAGTCAACAGTCGAAAGCATGGAGAGCAAAGTTAAAACTTTTATTAGTAGGGTTCTGTTTTTACATTTTTAAAATTCTGTGGTTCGGATGATAGTTGGCGGGGCTAATGGTGGTCGAGCATCCCCTCCCTCTAAATGGCAATTCTAAAAACTGAGAAAAAAATATTTGCTCAATATCTATCCTGCTGTCCACGACTGTAACTACGGATTCGCTGAAGATTTTAGGATTAACCAATTCCTTGAGAGCAACCAGTAAGGACAGAGTGGAATCAAACGTCTCCATACTAAAACATTCAGATTCCTTGTTATTCACAGAAAAAAATATTTGTAATTGAAAGTTTTCTCACCTTAATGCAAGCTGAACCATAGATTTGACAGCAAGCTGGTGATTCAAATTAAAACTAAAAACTTAAAGTTAGATGGAAAGTTTTACGGTTAGAACTAGAAAACTGTTAAATGATTGTACTCAAACTTATTTAATTCCTAGCTCGACTACCTGGCGTTGCCCAGTTTAAAAAAGATTTATTTTTTAGTTCGTCACGTCCATGGGTACCTTATTTCAGCCAATTTGGTCCAGATGTTTGATCAGCCGTAGCGAACAAATATATTGTATATATTATGTATTATATAAATGAAAAACACAACGACATCTATCAACCCAGATTCCTGGTTATAAACGCAAAAGAGAGGTTTGTTTTTTTAACCGATAAAAACTTATTATTTTTCAGATTAAATCCCTAGAAGGCATCCAGCAGCATCCAGCTTTGCCTGGATTTCTGCTATAAAAATCAACCCTCTCATCCATTGCTAACCCAAGCTAAAAACAATCCTGTAGTGATCTAGTAAGATCCCCAATCAAAATATTGGTGTCAGCAGGTTTATCAATTTTAATCGAACATACAAAAAATTACTACTTAATAGCTTACCTGGAGAGTTGTTCAGTTTTATTGTACTCACTGAAAGCGTATCGTTTAAACTCTTCAATTAATTCGTCTCTATACATGATTTTTCCATTCTTCACAATCTTGAAAAATTTATGTTAAAAAATTGATCGTCAATCAGCAGTGACTTCTTTCAAAACCAAATATTAAATATTAATGTTATGAGAATCATTTCATAAAATTCAAGTTTCCTTGATTTTGAGCATCACATCACAACTTTGCCATGTAAATAAAAGAAAATTCTGTAACTTACTTGTGGTAAGATAATAGCACCCTTTACTGGATTTGGCTGTTCAGGACCTTTCAATGAGTCGGGCAAATACAGTCGGATCATACCAGAACATCTTAATATTTTATAAAATAGAATTTTAACATTTTATTTTCATTGTACTTTCAAAGTTTACCGACCTTGGAACTAGTTTCACTGACCTTGGGACTAGCTTCACTGTCCTTGGAACTAGCTTCACTGACCTCGGAACTAGTTTCACTGACCTTGGAACTAGTTTCACTGACCTTGGAACTAGTTTCACTGACCTTGGAACTAGTTTCACTGAAGCTTCACTGACCTTGGAACTAGCTTTACTGACCTTGGAACTAGCTTCACTGACCTTGTAGCTAGTCTTACTGACTTTGGGAGTTTCACTGACCTTGGAACTAGTTTCACTGACCTTGGAACTAGTTTCACTGACCTTGGAACTAGTTTCACTGACCTTGGAACTAGTTTCACTGATCTTGGAACTAGATTCACTGAAGCTTCACTGACCTTGGAACTAGCTTTACTGACCTTGGAACTAGCTTCACTGACCTTGTAGCTAGTCTTACTGACTTTGGGACTAGTTTTACCGACCATGGGACAATTTTCAATGGCCTTTCCCAAGTTAAATTTCACCGACCTTCGGAGTTGGGACTAGTTTCACTAACCTTGGAACTAGTTTCACTGACCTTAGGACTAGTTTCAATTGCCTTTCTCAAGTTAAAATTTCACCGACCTTGGCACTAGTTTAACTGACCTTGGGACTAGTTTCACCGACCTTGGGACTAGTTTCACCGACCTTGGGACTAGTTTCACTGACCTTGGAACTAGTTTCACTAACCTTGGTTCCCAGTAAGCATAATTAAGATCTTGAAGTAAACTGATGAGAAGAAGATGCCGACCATGAGGAGTTCCTCTGAGATTAACACAGGTTAGTATTTTATGATTTAAATAGTTGGCTCATCTAATACAAGATAAGTTTGGGCCAGGTTTTCTTATGTAAGAAAATCTTATTGAGACAAACAAACTTCAAAGTTATGCTCTCATGCTAGTTGACTTTTAATACATTACAGACAATAACAAAAAAAAACAGTTTCAGCCCTGCTTACAGAAGGTATAAAAATATGAAAAGGAAACCCTCGACTAACGATTTCAAATTTCGTAGCGACAGTTATTTTGGACATGTGGGAACATAGAACATTAAAACAAATCCCACCAACAAAATCTTTGTTAAGGTTTTTTTTCAGTACTGTATGAAGACATAAAGCTTAACCTGAGTGTATTATACTCCAGTTTTCCTTTATCAGACATCAATGGAACATTCAGGTAACCCAAATCCATTTTACTCGTGTTGTAAAGCTAAAATAATTAAGATTTAACTTGTTCACTTGTATTTAGATGGAAGAAAGCCATAATTTTCATGGAGGGAGAGTAACATACCGACTTCCGAGCGAAATGATTTTCAGGATGGAAGGCATCGCTGGCCAGAAATTCTGATCCCTAGAGTGAAAAAACAGCAAATTATTACCTACTTAATCCTTATAAAGATGAAAGAGAGAGCAGGCGACCCCAATTTGTAATCACCACCACCAAAATTTGCATTTTTTGCATCGCGCTCCTCAACTTGTGAACACCACCACCTCAATTTGTAATCAGGTAGAAAAAAACTGATAACTTCAAATCAAATGTTTCCTAGAATTAAGACAATATTGACCTCGGCCCTATGGTACAGTATTGTCAAGGCTTTCGTTATTGGTCATCAGTTTTTTAAATAAACATATAACTACGCCATATTGAAGCGTTAGATGTAAAATGTGCTTTCAACCTGGATGCATGCTGCCTTGACATAACTCCAATGATTATGTCACGTGACAACTCTTACAAATTTGACCTTGAAAAAAAATAAGGGAAAGAGAGGTGAGAGGGGGGGGTTAGAAATTGGACATCAAACTTATTCTTTGAACCATAAAAAGACACACGTACCATAAACTGTGCCCACTGCATCCTGTAACCTGGCACCCTTCACCTTGTACTCTGTACTTACTCGGTACCCAAAATTAGTATTATGAGTACCCTGTAACCCCTTCCCCGTACTCTGTATCATGTACTCTGTACCCCCCGTATCCTGTTCCCTGTAGACCCTTCCCAATAAACTTAGCATGCACCCCCTGTACCCCCTTTGCAATGCACCCATGTATCCTGTACCCTGTACTCTGTACCCTGTACCCTGTATCCTGTATCCCATATCCAGTATCCTGTGCCCCATATCCTGTACCCTGTATTCCTTGTACCCCTGGTACCTTTTTCCCTTCCCCTTACCACTCTACAGATAATTGGCATTTCCGAAAACAATATTTTATGGTGACAGCGAAAATAGATGGTGATGATCAAAAATTGTTCAATAACACAGTTGGGTAGTGGTGTCTACAAATTGAGATGACCTGCACTCCCCCCCCTCGAAAGATATAGGTTTCTCATTCCTTCAGAAACAATTCATTTTGCTATCTTAACCATTTTTGTAAGAAACAGCACAAAAAAAACAAGATTATCACCCACCCTATTTTTGTAGTTTTCTAAATACTTCTTCTGCTCATTTTCATATTCTCGCGCCCAATTCCGAATAACAGCTGGAGAAGGAATATATTGACCAGAATCTGCAACACAGAAATAAATAGTAACTAAAAATTTCGCAAGCCTTATGGCAAAAAAGTGGTTTTTTTTTATTTGTACCCATAAAGTGTCAAAATGTCCTCACTGTGGGAAGAATTTATTTTTTAATCCAACAAAATGATAATTCTTAATTATACAAGTTCATTGCGCCCAATGAGTACCCCTTCAGCTGTTTTGAAAAGTACTGTATGAAGCCAGGGATTATGCCGATCAAGAGGACAAACATAGGGAAAGATTTGACTAAATGAGCCTTGTATATTTATGTGCCCAATAAACAAAAAATCAAACACAAATGATAAAAGAATCATTTTGTACAATCTTCGTCGTATTTATCAATAGAATGATGACGACTTTCTCTTTCAATTCTGAATATTACTAAGCTTTTAAACAGCAGAAACACTAGCATTCAAACAAAGAGAAATTTTCAATAAACTTCTTTAATTTGTTATTTGAAAAATGTCTGTTATGGATCAAAGCATTCAGTAAAAAGTCGTCTTCATTGTATTGATTTCATCGCCGACCACTGTATGATGAGTCAGACTAAGAACTCAAAGGATCCCAATATTCACCAATTACAACTACCGATTAATTACCTTCTGTATATCTCCTGTAGAAAGGATTTGGTTCAGGAGGTTCATAAGTTTCTTTATTGAGTAAAGGAGGTTTGGTTGCCAGCTCGAGATCATTTTTTGAATCTACTCCGGTATCAGGCCCATCCTCACTAGTATCCTTCACGTTAAGGATTTTTGGAGTTTTAGTGAGAGGAGTTATAGTGATAGGAGTACTATATTTAATCGAACTGGGTTGGATTGGTCCAGTTTTCTCAGGAGGACCTGGTTTTCTATAGGATTCAGATGTAACTGGAGCAGCTTTTTTAACAGTTAAGGTTTCAGGTTTTGTCGTAGTTTTTAAATCAGAGTTTCCTTCATCAGTTGGATATTCGGGAACTATATTCTTGATCGATTTCGAAGCTATTTCAGGTTCGATTGGATCCTTTGTTCCTTCAGAGCTTGGTGGCTTAGGTGGAGGAGAAGGACGAATATTTTGAGTAGGTTGAAAAACGTTGTCTCCAGTAGTATCATACCTTAGGCTCTCGGGGCTGGTTTTAGATACTGTAGTCGGAGTTGTGGGTGTGACAATTGGTTTGATATATTGTTTGATAGGCAGTTCAGTGTATTGAGGTTGAGGTGTAGGGGGAGGAGTTAAGTATAGGATCGAATTAGTAGGTTCTCCTTGCATGGGATGAGCGGGGGGTAGTGTTGCACCCTGGTGCGCGAATGTTCTAAAATCATTGAATGGATAAAAGCAAACAAAATATGTTCATTCATACACAGCTATGCAAATTGTGCATCAGACTTGGCCTACTTTGAGATGCCGTTTTACCAAGCGTATTCTGTAGTCCTGGAAATGAATATTTCAAAGTTGAATATTTCAAAGTTGAATATTTCAAAGTTGAATATTTCAAAGTTGAATATTTCAAAGTTGAATATTTCAAAGTTGCTTGTTTCTATCTTTAAGCATAAAAATCCCTTTAAGCATAAAAATCCCTTTTTTACGATGTGCGAAGAAATTGAGGATTGGAGAAAATGTGATCTGTGTAAACGGTTACCAAGGTGTCATCCATGAAATAAGAGATTTTGAAGACGAAATTTGACCATATAAAGGGACTATTATCTTATTTAAACATGAATAGGATTTCCCTTTTATATATAGCAAAACACTTAAATGTATAAGATACTTTTATCTAATAGATTTATGAGATACTTTTATCTAATAGATTTATAAGATACTTTTATCTAATAGATTTATAAGATACTTTTATCTAATAGATTCAGGATTATATTTACAATCAAATCGGCGATGGTCATTTTAGTCCTCGTGAAACTCTTGTGATGTTCCTAACTAAGTAACTCCAAAAGTAGAAATATTAGATTTATTTTCAAATATGTAAATATCTCTTAAGAAGATTGGGCTCACCTGAGAAAAATCCTCTGGATGTCATTATATTCCTAGTAAAATATGTAATTTAAAACTAAATCATTAATCATGTTATTTAATCTAAATATTTGATCAAAAACTGATAATAGACTATTTTAAAATGACTTACCTGTTTCCCCAGCACTGTATTGATAAACAACCTGTAAATGGAATATGTTAGGTTAATTTCAACTCTCATTATAAACTTTGAGCTAGTTTCTCAACTTAAGAGAACAGATGAATTATATATTTTAAACATGACTTTAAACTAAAATACTTGTCTTCAATTTGTGTCGTGCAAGGTTAAAAGGTAAAAACTAAATGTTTTGAGATGAATAAACTATTCTCTTTCATTTAGTAACAAACTTAACACATTCTTTTATTGATTGTATGTAAACCTTTCGCATAGAAAGGTAAAAGAAAGGTTAAAAAAATTCAGTTCATAGTTTTCGGTAAAATATTAGTTGTACTAAAAATTTATTAAAAAATCTTCTATTTATCTTGACTTTTCTTTAATTCCACGTCCCTTGAAAACTTTTAGAGGGGGGGGGGGGTCACGGTGCTTAACAAATCTAAAAATGTTTGCTATCTTTACCAATTAATCACTGACAATCTCCACAACAGCATCATTCAACCCTAACACTGAAGGCTGGTGAGACACTAAGCAATACTAATTAGTAGAAATGTGGGTACTACTGTACAGTGTACAATGTACAATGGTTGCACTTGCAGTACACATGAACTAACCGGTTTAGACAATTCATGTATTTCAAGGTTATAATGCAAGGCAAGTTAATTGCAGTTTTGTATTCTCTGCGTACATATTGAAACCAGTTCTCTCTGGGTGGAATTTTTAAACAAGAATTGATCAGGGAATAGGAATAAAGGGAAAGGAAATGGCGCTGGTCTGGCATAAGAAAGCCAGTCGCACTGCTTTTCAGACAAGTTCGGTAAACCTTACACACACTCTTTTGGTACAGACACACAACATGACTGCAGTCAAGGAAATTGCAGAACAATGTTGTCAATTATAATTAAGCTTGAATAACGACTAGTTTATTGTAAACTTTATCAAATTATATTCTTTGCATGAAAATTTGGCTTATAGTGTTGACTTAAATATATAAATAATATAGTACATGTATATTAAAATTATTTTTAGGTAAACTGTACAAATACCGCGATTCGTATGTACTGTATATACCAACAGTACACACTTTCGGTTCGGTAAACTTTACACACACTCTTTAGGTACAGACACACACACATGAAATTTCCGCCCCTAGAATTGATGCATCAGTGTTCTTAGATAAGATAAGATAAGATAACGTTTATTGCTAAAATAAATGTATCTGTATACAGATAGAGTTTACAATCACAAAATTGATGATTATATTAACAGTACAAGTATAAAGCAATTAGGTGGAAAATAGCTCTTGGCTGTTTTGATTATTTTTTCCACCTAATCTCTTACAGTAAAATGAAGTGGGTGATAATCAGTTAAATCAAATGAAAGATTTGCAGGTTTATTCCAAATTTCCTGAAGAGCAATTACAGATGGTTTAAATTTTACAAGGGTTGAGGCTAAAAATGTTTGAAACTCATTAAATTTTCCAGGGAGAGATTCTTTCAGTATCCGAGAAGGTTAAAAGCATTAAATTTTGATAATTTTGATAATTTACATAAAAGTTTCCTATGACCAGAATATTACATTGATTTTTTTGTGAAAGATGGATCCAATGTCACGCTTTGACATGCGTCTTGTGTTTACATTACCGCCCAGAGACAGTACACTGCAGTACAAATGATGCGTAAACCTCTGAAATAACTTTCCTTGCATTATAACCTTGATGTATTTTTTGTCTAAGCGTATTTAGCGTGTCTGCCGTAATCAATAAGAGTAGACTTAAGGAGAAGGGATTCTTTTTATTACATATCATTCCTTAAGACGGTTCGGGTTAAGAAGCTTGTTTATCGAAACTAGACAGCAATAAGTAAACATTTAAAATTCGGTGATGGTGATGGACCAAACCTCTGTAGAGTAAAAAAAGTAGATGTTAGTTCCACATTTGTTGAAAATATATTTCGGTTGACCCTCGTCAGTTCTAACGATAGGAGGTTATAGGTTAGGTCTGATTGTATTTCTATTTTCCGGGTCTAGGATTTCTGATTTAACTGCATGACAAAACATTTTAAGATCTTCTGGTGTTTTATGATTATGAGGAAGGTTAGTTTTTTCGTCTCTGAAGATTGAAGGATGATATTCATGGTCATCTTCCCGAGTGGCAAAAAACTCCCTCCAGCGTAGTCTCCTTTCAAATTTAGAAAAAAATACACTAAAACCTGTGAAAGATTTAGAGATAATGGGGTAATAGCAAAGCTTACACCTCTGTTGAGAAGATTTTCCATGTCTTAAGAAAGTTAAACACCAGAATAGTTAAAAACCACATTTAGGTTTTTCCTAGATTGTTTTCTTTTCAGTCTCTTCAGACTTCTTTATCTATTTTCTCTTTTGTTTTGGGGGATCCTCTGAGGTAACTATAGGTTTATCTTGTACATTTCTCAGACAGTCAGCTGAGTTTTTTGTACTGATTTTTATAAACATATTCTGATATGCTGCATTCTTCAACAGTAGGCGTTCACTGATTGATTCTTCTGGGTTTAACAAAAACAATTTATCTCATAATTTTTCTGTTTTTGAAAGAATCTCCTTTTCTGATGTCATCTCTTGGTTAACAACAATTTTTATCAATTGTTTAGAAGTTTGTTTCTTTGTGGAGACCACTTAGCAACAAATCTTGATGAATGGTTTTGAAGTAAATTAGAGATTTCAAAATTGTTAGGAATTGAATCAGATCTTAAACATTCTTGTAGGAATACTTTATTTGAATTTACGGAGTGAAACTTTCTAGTGAGAGACATCAGTCGATTATAGCAGAGTCTTGATTAATCATTAGAGAAAATTTCATGGTTATTTGTGGAATAATGTTTAGAGAATACCATTCTGGCTATTCTAGGTCAGATGGAGTTCAAAGAAAAATAATTTATGTACAGGGTGTCCCAATAAACATCGGAATTCAGTGACGAATTCGATATCGTCTTTTTAAATAATTCTTTGATTTAGTGTAGGGATACCTACTGAGAAAGCTGTAATCTGTAAGAGTTCCGTCTGCTATGTTCACATTTTGTTTGTTTGTTTTGACTGCAAACGGTTGTACAATGTACTAAGTAAAACAAGGAAATTGCAGTATACAAACAGAGTAAACTTGTCCGTCTTCACTGTTCATCTTGCGGAGACATAATATACACATCTTTATAGCCATTTACCGTTTTCATAAAATAAACTCTAGCAGACATAATAATATTATGGCTTTTAAAATTAGGTATTACAATGCTAATTCATAACAAAGACGATATCGAATTCGTCACTGATTTCCCATGTTTTTTGGGACACCGTGTATGTTGCAGTTCTGACCAAACCTCTAGTATTTACTTTATAAGGAATTTATAGGATTCATCATGGTTCAGGTAGATTTAAATTCGGTGATTGTGATGGAGTAAAAAAAAGTAGATGTTAGTTCCACATTTATTGAAAATATATTTCGGTCTGGGTTGACCCTCATCAGTTCTAACGATAATAACCATCAAAATCGATAATTTTTTTTTTAATTGTTAAAAACCACAAGAAAATAAAGAAACAAAAAAGATTTAAAAACACAAATTTGGCTGTCTAATGGAAATAAGGGAAACGAACTCAGATTATTAGATGGAAAAAAGATAATTTGCCAATATTCACTTTAAAAAAAAATGTTTTAAGACAATTATTATTCCTTGAGATTGTTTCTGTCACAAAGAATAAAAACAAACTGTTAAGATGTATGTGTATAAATTGGTGGTTAAATAAAAACTCTTTTTTTTCTGTTCATTCCTCTGAGTTCAGTCATAAAATCTCTAATGTATTTAGACTTAACTACATTTCTGGTCTTACAGTTGAAAGTTCCATTAATCTGAATCTTCTGTATATGACTTCAGAGACGACTGCACAGATATAATACTGTCTGTCTCCTTCATGATTCCCTTTAAAAATTCTTTCTTACTATGCCAATAGGGTTCCCACTGGAATTCTGGGTTACGGTTTACACGTAGGGAAATAATCCGGAAATTTTGTCCATTGCCATTATGGAAAAGGTTCCGGAAATCCGGAACGATTTTTTCCCGGAACGTTTCGGAATATTGTTCCAGAAAATTCCAGTTTACGGAACAATCGTTCCGGAATTTTCCGGGAAAAGGTTCCGGAAAACGTTAAAGATATCTTAAACTTATGAAAAAATAAAACCAGTAAGTATAATACTATCTAAATAATAATAGAATGTGCGCCTGGTTCAGCTGTAGTTAAAGTAATACTTCTGTGAATTATCATGAAATATAGATCCTGGCTGCCATGTCTCAAAATAATTTCATCTACAGAAAACTGTGGAAAGGAAGATGACATATATAGCAATCCTTAAGTCTATTTGATGTTGTTACAAAGCAAATAGGTTGACCCTAAACAAAGTCGTACCAGTAAAATTAAAACCAGGATCTACGAGGACACAAAGTCGTACCAGTAAAATCAAAACTAGGAGCTACGAGGTCACAAAGTCGTACCAGTAAAATCAAAACTGAGGAGTTATGAGGTCACAAAGTCGTACCAGTAAAATCAAAACTGGAGGAGTTACGAGGTCACAAAGTCAAATTAAAATCGAAACTGGTGGAGCTACGCGGTCACAAAGCCGTACCAGTAAAATCAAAATGGGAGGAGGTACAAGGTCACAAAGTTGTACCAGTAAAATCAAAATGGGAGGAGCTACGAGGACACAAAGGCGTACCAGTAAAATCAAAACTAGGAGCTACGAGGTCACAAAGTTGTACCAGTAAAATCAAAACTGGAGGAGTTATGAGGTCACAAAGTTGTACCAGTAAAATCAAAACTGGAGGAGTTATGAGGTCACAAAGTCATACCAGGAAAATCAAAACTGGGGGAGCTACGAGGTCACAAAGTCGTACCAGTAAAATCAAAACTAAGAGCTACGAGGACACAAAGTCGTACCAGTAAAATCAAAAGTAAGAGCTACGAGGACACAAAGTCGCACTAATAAAATCAAAACTGGAGGAGCTACAAGGACACAAAGTCATGCCAGTAAAATCAAAACTGGAGGAGCTAAGAGGTCACAAAGTCATACCAGTAAAATACAAATTAGGAGCTACGAGGACACAAAGTCCTACCAATAAAATTAAAGTTGGAGGAGCTACGAGGTCACAAAGTCATACTAGTAAAATCAAAATTAGGAGCTACGAGGACACAAAGTCATACTAGTAAAGTCAAAACTGAGGAGAAACGAAGTCACAAAGCAGTACTAGTATAGATGAAAACTAGGAGCTACGAGGTCACAAAGTTTTACCAGTAAAATAAAAATTTGAAGAGCTATAAGGTCACAAAGTCGTACCAGTAAAATCAAAACTAGGAGCCATGAGGTCACAAAGTCGTACCAGTAAAATCAAAACTAGGATCTATGAGGTCACAAAGTCGTACCAGTAAAATCAAAACTAGAATCTACGAGGTCACAAAATCGTACCAGTAAAGTCAAAACTAGGAGCTACGAGGACACAAAGTCGTACCAGTAAAATCAAAACTGAGGGAGCTACGA